AAGGATTTTGCCCCTCATTATGTGTTGGTTACACGCTCAAATTTCCATCAATTTCCGATCAAATGGTGTTTGGTGCGCACCATCTACCATCAAATTTCTGCGGCCTGCAAAAATTTCGTGGTAGATAATGGAGCTGTGAGGCTCATCCTTCATCTGATTTCCACACAACCGTGCTTATTTCATGCTTATTTCAATCAACACGCTGTTTTAATTAATTTTACTCATCAATCTAGATAACTCTCGACCGCCATCTTGGTCATCATTTTGATCGGAATTTGACGGAAATTTGAACGTTTAACCAGGCCATTAGACTGATTCAGTGGCTACGCATACTGCCGTGCTAAGGAAAAACGCCGTATGAACCTTCAGACGTTGCCAAGTTTTCTCCTCTAAAAACCGAATTTACCAGTGGCGTGGCGTGCTTTGCGATATATCGATTGATCTGCCATTTAAGCCAATGGCCAAGGACCGATTAACACGGTGTTCGCAACGGACACCTTAACAATCGATTCTTCACCGTGGTTTCAAATGGGGAAATATCGATAATCGTCCATTCACGCCTCGCCACTGGAATTTACTAGGAAAATTGCGAATATTATTTTCCAAAATTTCCAGAAAATTTTGTACGCAATGTAATCTAAAATTTCGGAAAATTTCAAGGAAAATATGCATGAATGTTGTCAAAAATACATATTTTGCCAAGAGGAATTTGACAACTCTCGAATGTTCATACGGCGTTCTTCCTTAGCACGGCGGCATATCTCGCGGTATCGATGGCTTGAGTGCGAGAAACAACGCATCACTATTCTGCCGTGCTAAAGAAGAACGCCGTATGAGCATTCGAGAGTTGCCGAATTTTCTTCAGGAAAATTTTAATTCTTCAGGAGACTTATAAATATTTTCCCTCGAAATTTTCAGATACTATAGATTAAAGTGTGATCGAAGTCCTGTAAAAAATTGGTATTCAAATTCCTATAAGTTTTCCAAGGATCTCGTATTTTATCGGAGGAAATTCGGCAACACTTGAAGGCTCATACGGCGTTTTTCCTTAACACGGCAGCATTGCAGTGTTTCATAATTGTTTAAAGAAAGATTGCACGAAGGAGAAAAATTTCTTAATTCGTTTCTACCTGGTAACGATCGACGACGTTGCGTTTTTATGCACCCATCTACTTTTCTTCTCCAGCGTTTAAGTCTCCAAATATATGTACGTTTAAAAAAGCGTTAGTGCCAAAAGGTTGAAATGATGCATGTTTTCTAATGAAATATTTAAGTATTAGAGCGTTGTCACGGTGAATTTACCACTTAAAAATGTTTGAAACCTCTCGCTAAGGAAAAATTGGTCGTTTTCCTTATGTACCGTCCAGCTCAAAAAACAACTATCGATTTGAGTCATACAAACTGCGCATCCAGATAATTACTACATTGCTATACATCAATTGATGAAATTGTGCCCCTATTGTAAAAATATCCTCTCCTATCCTTTCTCCTTGGTTAATATCCGAAAATGCCAACTTGCCACATGGACGTATTTCTGCCAAACGGAACTATGTGCATTAAGACATGCATCCTGAGACCCATAAGAATACATGCTTAACAGGGCTCACGTCATGATGCACATACTTCCGTTTGACAGAAATTCGTCCACGTATTCCCACCCGTGCACTACAGGTCCTCAGATCCGCACTCTGCTGTGTGCAAAGCAAAGCTAAACCAGAGCGCCTTCAATTTTTTCGTATGCAACACGCTCATCCATAGAGTGCGAATAGTTGTATCAAGGCGTTAATATCAAGAAATTGAATGCGTTGCTTATGTTGACTGAGATATTGGCAGATATTGGCATGAAAGGTCCCGCCACGTCTTATTCTACCCGAGTACCGAGTTTCAGTTGGTCTGTGCCTGTCCAACAAAATTGAAGGCAAAATTTCAGTAGGAGACAAAAAAAAAAAAAAAAAAAAAAAAAAAAAAAAAAAAAAAAAAAAAAAAAAAAAAAANAAAAAAAAAAAAAAAAAAAAAACTTTTCAACTTTATTCAAAAATGGAGAGACGTCGTCTCTCATTTGGCCCGAAAATATGTATGTATAAAATTGAAGGCAATATGACTCGCCTCTCTCAACTTATATTCGTCTGTAACAATAAACAATGGGACGCGCTTGCTACGGCGCCTTGATACAACTATACAACCTCGACGGATGTCCTTATTGCGTCCAAAAAATTGAAGGCGTTTTGACTTCCTACGCATAATACCTGTAGTTGATTCGATCGACAAACGCGTTGGTCGGCGGTGACGGGGACTTGATGCAACTATTAAAGCTTGTTGGATGTCCGTATCGGTCCGACTGAAGTGCGAAACCAGGTATCTCCATTGCGGTTTTTCAAAATTTCCGTTCTTAGTTCATCTCTTCCATGAGAAACAATCCAAATTTACGACTTGAAATTTTGAACCAATTCTTCTGCTATCAAGTAGGTACGAAAAATCATGGAGAATTTAAGTTTCATGTTGACCAGCTTCTCGAAAGAAAAATAAAATTTCTAAGGAAGTCTGCAACGTCGCAAACGGAGAGACGTCGTCTCTCATTTGGCCCGAAAATATGTATGTATAAAATTGAAGGCATTATGACTGGCCTCTCTCAACTTATATTTTTCTGTAACGATAAACAATGGGACGCGCTTGCTACGGCGCCTTGATACAACTATAAAACCTCGACGGATGTCCGTATTGCGTTCAGTTTACCTAAGAGAATTTACCTAAATGAACTTAAATAAAAGGATCGAACGACGGGATATTTTCATTGGTCCTATTTTCTTTTAATGTAACCAAAAAAAAAAAAAAAAAAAAAAAAAAAAAAATTATACATGATTCGAGTTTCTGTATCGTTACAGTGAGGGTACTTGTTCTCCCATTAATCATGGTAAAAATTTGAGCAAGAATTCAAGAATGATGACACGCAGTCCTACAGTATTCCTATATGGTCTTGTGGGCGTCATGCGTTTCGCGCCAATTAACTGACCGACTGCGCTCCGTTTGGCGCAATGCGAGAAGTATTCATGCAGTTTTGTAGGCGCTGATATTGGCTTGACGCCGACCGCGCTGTTTGGCGCAATGCGTGAAGTATTCCTAAAGTCTTGCAGGCGCTAATATACCTTTAACGCCGGCCGCATTGTGTCTGGCGCGATTATTCGAACTCGCGTTCGAATAACCGTGGTATCAAATAATAGAGCTTCAAGGGCCCATGTTGCGTTTAGACGCCGTATGAGCATTCCAACGTTGCATCGTTTCTTCAGATTAAATATTTTTTCTGAGAAAAGTAAGGAAAGTTCTTTACACCCACGACCATTATTCAATCTTTTCACTTCATTTATCATCAGGAGGTAAGACATCGATATATGACTTGTCAACAAACTAACCTAAACTAGCGTTAACATACAAATGTGTTTATTTTCCAACTGTGTCCTGTTTTGCCAAACTTCTCCATTAAATTAACTGCTTTGTAAATCCGCGCATTCTTGTAGCAGATGTTAAGGTTTCTATTCGCACTATCCTTGTGACTTTTTCATGCAATCCTCATATATTTTCTTAGACCTTTCGCGCAATCTTGGATTACCGACTCAGAAGCATCGTGTAATATGACACTTCTGAGGTGTAATAGAAGCAATCTAGGTGTAAACATGAACTGTCGCGGTGAATGACTTCATTCAGAAGTATTTTATGAATGCCGTTATCCTCGAAAACACATAAACCAAGAAACTCGGCTCGCAGACATGTATGACTATTTTTGATGAAAATTATATGGATTTCGATCGTAAAAACATATTTGATCAATTTTGATGAATATTGATGAACATGAAACGATGATAAATGGCACCCCCATGAATGTCGACAGAATGTTCGTAATTAACGGCAGAACACTAGTCAATATTTGATGGAAAGTTTTTCTCGAATTTACTCTTTTAACCCTCCTCAAATACATTAAAAAACCAGCAGAAAACTAAGGACGTCATGGTAAACATCTCCGCCTCTCTCATTGGCTTATGATGTTTTTTGCGTCATCGATCGCCCTTTCTATGATGAAAGATCCTGAGATTCTTTCCAATGTTTAAATTTTTCACAAAAATGGTTTTCTTAGGACATGGCGAGTGAGGACAACGACGTCCCATGGCATTACCTCCTTCTGCAGAAAACAGTTGCAACCCCCCCCCCCCAAAAATGATTAAAAATGTTTCTCGAAGGGTTCAAAAACGACCACTGAAAAAATGGTTGAAGAACGAGTTTTACAGTAAAGAAAAAATGTTTGACTTGAATTTTACAGAAAAATCTTCCTTTTTATTGAGTTAAGAAAAATTTATTTAAATTAGAGCAGGAATTTTTTGAGCGCAATGCCTATTATTTTTTATTTGTTTAATTCAAAAAAATTATAGCTCCGTCGTCCAGTGGATATGTAAAGGGACTCTTTTGAGTTTAAAAAAGAACGTAATTAATTTTATCAGAAAAAAAAGAAGCTTACACCCAAAAAAGTTTTCTTTCAGCAAGAAAAAAAAGCTGGAACAAAAAGATTCATAAAATCGAAAACATCAACTAGTTAATCAACATCGTTTTACTACGTGAAAAATTGGAAGTTCCTTCAAATGCGTTGGATGCAAAAAGCACGACAAGAAAGAAATCCTCGGGCAAATCTGATTCTTAATCAGGTCATGCAAAAGTACACAGACTTCCAGGATCCAGGTGCATGTACCTGGACATTTTTGCAAAAAACCAATTGCACTTTGCTGGACAAGGCCTAAAATCAGACCGATTTATGAGATGCATACCACTACCTCTATCTTCCGTGTGAATTCAATTTTTCGGAAAAGTCATGGGCTCTGAGAGAATACTGGCGTTGCACGTCTTATCTGGGAAATAGACTTGTTCCCTATCATGAGACAAGGTCATCTGCTTGATCCCTTTTTAAATATTCTATGATGGAGCAAATTAATATTTTAATTTAAAGAAAAATACAAAGATTTACTTAATTGTCACAAACATTTAATGCCCATTCAAAAACTTTTAAATATACAGTACAGAAAATCAGCTGAATTAACAGAATGATAAATCCGTCAGTTGAGATCATTTCGTTGCATTTCACAAACACAAATACGTGGGTCAAACTTGGTTTAACAAATACTGAATATCAAAATATAATAAATCTCAAAGATTCAGGTAACATGTCATTATGGGAATCAACAAAACTTGTTCCCAGATAGTAAATACTTAGAATAAGATTACGTAAGTACAGAATTTCTTTAAAAACTCCAAAGCAGTAACTTTGTTTTCACAGGAAAATATTGCAAAGAAGATGGCAGAATAGTTGTATTTTCTTAGATGATCAGGGCAAGGTATGCAGATGAATTTTAAGCTGAGTTCAATAGTTTTGTAATTATTTTAGGTATATTAAAGTTAAATTAATTAATTTTACTTAATTTTAATTTGTTTCTTACTTTCTAGAGCCACAGCAGCATTTGCAAAAGCATACTTCTGAATTCCAGCTGGATTAATTTTTTGACTTGGAAGTATATGCTCCTGAGAAAATATGGAGTTGTTGCATACTCATCGGATTTTCACATTTATAATTTTCTACAAATATATTCTAAAATTGAAAAAAAAATATAAGTTTTTTCCCTATGTGATGAGTACAAGCACCAAAGGTTATTATTACTGGCTTTAACTTCCCTACCTCTAATTTTAAAATAGGGATACTCTTAACTTTTTATGAGCTAGACGCAGCTCTATGAGCATTTTAATACCTATCCTCGCACGGCAAAAGAACATTAATCTTCCAGTTACCCTATTTTTGAATTAAACATAGGTATTTATGCTAAAAAGAAATATGTCCAAAGAGTAAGTGCGAGGCATAGTTATTTGGAACATAAATACAATAAATTACAGTTATTTTTCTCAGTTAGAAGGGATTTTGAAAAGAAATAGACCTTGAATGCTGTAATGGATATGAAACCAAGAAACTTCAATATAAAAAATCCCATGGATTTTTGCAAGATAAACATACCTTGCCCTGATCAGTGTCTCAGCAAAGTCGAAAAACCTGCTGAAAACACACTTCTAAACTTTTAAAAACATCATGTAATAAACTTCGCACAGCCTAGAGAATTGGCAAAAAACTCAAAATGGGAAACCACTTAAAAATTACAATCATAAAGATTTCAGAATGGGAGGGACAGCATACATTCAAATGACATTAACTTAGAGACAGTTTAGACACAAGTACTTACTACAACCAAACAAAAAAGAAAAAAAGAAGAATTTAAATTAAATGATTAGATAGTTTCTGAGTTCAAATGGACGCATTCAAATCAAAAGGAACTATCTCCACCATGACCTGGACCCTGAGATCCATAAGTATACATGTATAACAGGGCCCCTGTAAGAATGGAGATATGTAGTTCCTTTTCCTTTAAATACGTCCAAATTATGAGAGTCCTAAAAATAGGTCCTAGCCTTCCTTTATGAGGAACTTTTAATAGGTGTAGCTTGTGTTTTTAGAATTATGTAGAAAGATAACAATATTGGCCTCTGAACGAAGTCTGAACGAGAAAAAGATGTCACACTTCTCCTGTTCAAAATTTTAGGTAGAAATTGTTTCGCACAAAAGAAAGTTGAAAAATCAACTCCTGAATGAGATATTTAAAAGTATTTTTAACGAAGATCAATGGAAGTTACATGATACAAATTTCGCCATTTGTATTTTTGCAATTGAACCAATGTTAATTAAAAGCACTTATATCTTGTTTAGGAGTGATTTCTAGATTCCCTGATGCATGATTCGTTTTTCTCTTTAAACTTTGAAGAGGAACCATGTTGCGTAGTGCTTAAATCCACACTTTTTCAAGGAGCCCATTGGCTCCTCAAGAGTGAGACTAAAAATTCTTAGTGCTGCGAGTTTTGGGTGACGCACAAATATTTCATGACTTTTACGGCTATCACTAACATTTAGTCTGAGAAAGTATTTTTGAAATTGTCCACCTTTGAGCCAGATAACTTAGAAATAAGCACCTACATGTCTAAAAGTTCACAGGTTTCATCTTATGGCAAAAAAAATAAGAAATCAAAATCAGAGTAAGTAAAACTGAAACAAGAGTACTTTTTGATTCAAAATTTTGTTTAAGTTTGATTCAAAACGTATGGAAGGCCGAAGTGCAAAACAACATATTTCTATTTGCGGCGTTTGAACTTCGTTTTCTCTGGGAGACTAGTCGACTTAATTTCGACTTGTTTTTTTTCTCTGTTAGCACAACATTCTGCATGAATATCAAAAAATAAAGTTGGTATGTTCCTCTTTGAAAAAATAAAATAAAAGCATCAATTTTGAAACACTGCAATGGAGATGCGTGGTTTTGCACTTTAGCCATCGATAAAAACCATTTCAATAATAGTTCACAATCATTGACGAAGCTGATAGAAATAAATGATAACTCAAAAATACACTAGTGAGTTCCTGTAATGACAGAATACAATGTTCCTCAAATCAAAGTATTCAATTAAAACATTTTAACATTTGAATATTTCATGTATCCTTGTGAGAGGGGTTGAAGATATTCTCTCGTTATGCACAGAGATACATATTTGTTTAAAGCTGGTTAAATGTGAGCTCAAATTTACATAATGAACGAGAAACATTGAAGATGTTTAATTTAATATTTTCCATTTGGCAGGGCTCAACGTTTTTTAGTAGGTAACATAACAGTTTATGCCCTTGATGCTTGGAGCTGAATCATTCTTACAAAAAGAGTGTCTGGCCAGAGTAAGTTTTAAAGTCTGCTTGAATCACACTTGAAATAAGATCGATGAGCTGAACATCACTCTCTCCAGACATTATACGATGGATGACAATCACACCTTTGTTCAGTTTTTTATACTGGTGAGCCATTTTCCGTCCATTTCGATGCAGCTCGTACACACTCATGTTCTGCATTCCATCCCCACTCGAGTGATCAATGACATGGATAATGATGCCCTAAAAATTGAAGGAATAAGATTAGAAAAGTAAAACCTAGTACGCTTTTGAAAGTTGCGCTTTCAAAAATTATCTCTTTTTTGATTAGAAGAAAGTACTAGAACCATCCAAAGATCCTCATTTCCAGGGTGACAGAGACACCTTTTTTTAAAAAATATACAATCGATTGTGTTAGTAAAAACCATTTTCCATACAATTTGGTGTCATCAATCAATGATGAGTCAAATTTGCTCTAGATGAACTGTTTATGACAGTGGCATGGCGTACTTTGCGATATATCGATTGTTATGCCATTTAACCCTATGGAAAAGGATCGATAGACAGGGTGTTCTCAGCGAACACCTTAATAATCGATTCTTCACCATAGGTTTAAATGACAGAACAATCGACACATCGCAATTCACGCCACGCCACAGGTTTATGAGACCACAGAGAACATAAGAAAAAACCAGAATATGTCTTTTTGCAATGGATGCTGCCATGCACTGTGTTTTTCAAAAGAGCATATCTCTTCCAATTGGGAGAGTAGCAACTTTGCGTAAAGCTTTTCCTGGTGCTGATCTTTAAGATTCTACTATCAAAAATAATAATGTATTATCCACTACCGGTAAATTTAGAGAGCACTCCAAAAGTTCAGAGATTTGAAAACTAAACTTTATTGATGATCTGTTTGAGTAAAACATGAATTTTGAGGTTTCGCATAACACCAAGCTAGGCTAATGCATTCTTGAACGGAAACTTCCCTCCTAGTGCGTCCGACAAAATTGATAAAAATTTGCCTTTCTGAGATGCAATGGCGTATCCAGAAATTTTTCATGGGTGGGCGGAGAGGGTCTGCTGTAAAATATATTTCATGGGGGACGGGGGAATGTAAGGTAAAAAATTCTGAAAAATTGCATCTTACATTGCATACTTACAAATTATAATTGGGGAAGATTTTTTTAGATCGGGGGGATGCACACTCCCTTGACCCTCCTTTGCTATACCACTGAAAATGTGTAAAGATAATTTATTCTTCCTTCTTCTTTAATTTATTGAGAAAAATATAATAAATCTTCATTTTTCTAGTTACCTCTTCTTCGATGTTGAGAAGTGTACTGAATTCTGCCAGCTGCTCATCCTGTTGAATTTCTTGCATATGAAATAAAACTAGCACATTGTACTTGAAACCTTGTTTGACTTTAAAAGCAGAGCTTTTGAAACTTGTTGAAACATCAACAACGTCTGCAAAATTTTTCAACTTATTATGCGCTAGATAAACTGCTTTTGTCTCAATTTCTTCTGACATGATCAAGCATATTTTAAGGTACTTTTCTGTAAATGAACAAACATCAAAGATGTTAAAAACAAGGACTTCTGTAGAGTGAAAAAACTATTGGAAAAGGCATACTTTATACTGAGGATCAAATACTTGATTTGAGATTTTTTCTGCAACAACTCTTGATGAGTTAAAATATCTGTAAATAAATTTGGGGCCAATAAATACCAAAGAGTAATGATTCAGTGCCCCAGAGCCAAAAATTACTTTCTCCATTTTAATAATTTTGAGGTCAGGGGTGAGCCTCAAGTCGGCCCCATTGATTCTAATGTAAATTGCAATTTTTTAAATTCCGTTCCTCATTACCAGCGTCAGATAGAGCTACCAAAATTTCCACACTTGCAGAACCGAAACTTGAAAATTTAAAATCACCACTGACTCAATTTTTTCAATGTTGTGGAGGGGAGGTTAGGAGGTACTTTTTGGCTCTAGGGTATGGAATTAAAGTAGGTATGTAATTTTTTAAAAAGAAATCGGAATACCTGTCTAATTTTCAAAGGATGAAAGCACAAAAGGAAATTGTTTGCTCATCTAAAAGATGTTTAGTATATTTATTCATTTATTTTTATTTTTTTCCCCAGATGATCTTTTCAAAACTATTTGATGAGTTGACCTTACGTAAAATTTTTAGGATAGGATAAAAGGGAAAATTTATGGAGCAATAGAGATTCTCAAATATCCATTGAAATGTTCTTGGGATTGAACATTTTTTTTATCCTCTCAGACCAAAGGATGATCTGATCAAAGACTATATAATGATTTTCAAGTTCCATTTGAACTAAATTTTTTTTTTTTTAACCAGTTGAGAACAACTAGAACTTACCTCTCAGACATTTTTCAGCTGAGTGAAGATCCTTTTTGTATGTAACTTTCCACAGCTCATCTGAACCTGCCACAAGCTTTGCCTTTACTCCACAATGTTTTAGAACAAGTTGTAGGCATTCTGTGCCATTGTCCAGTTCAAAATCACTACACTGATAGGATTTTTAATAAACAAACAGAAATGTTAATTAATAATTTTGTACGTACAAATATAACTTCCTTTCCTTTAAGAAAGAATCTGACATTTTGGACTTTATAAGGGCGAAAAAATGTTCTTAGAAAATTGCACCTGAGGTCAAAGAATTGAATCAGCTTGAAATCTTTTGCTTAATGAGCTGAGGTGATAGCTCTAAAGAGGGAGGAAGATTTACCTCAACTCTACAATCCTGTGCTCATTGAAGGTGCATGTTTTATGGAATTTATCATACTTTGGTCAATCCTGGTCTCTTTTCAGGCCGGATATTGACCTAAACATATTAATAAAAGTCAATTTTGGCGAAAAAATGCGGACTATTTTAGGCAAATTCAGTGTGGGCCCAAAAACGGCCCTTAACAATTCCCCCTTCTTTGCCAAATGGTATAATAACACTTCTGCTTAAGGTAGATTTATTGAAGTTGCAGCAAACATAAAGTAATAATTTTTCAAGAGTATTCACCTTTTTATACGCTCTGCTTAATATTGGTATTTGAAATGCTTGAGGAGTTTCACTTGCAACATATTGACATCGATCCAAGCTTTCCTCCAAAAAGTTATCTGCGTCTGGCTTAATAACAGTAGATACTAAAGGTCTGGTGGCGCCGGATGCTCCATGACTACGTGCTGCAACCACAAGTTCTTCCAAAAGTTTCACTTGCAGCAATGGCCTTACGGCATCATGGACAATGACAGTTTCTAGAATAAAATCTGGAACAAAAAATCAACTATTACACACAAGACCAAAATTTTGCTATACACTCATGATGGAAATAGAATAGCAAAAATGTGTGATGAATTTTTGAAAACAAATTTTAGACTTCGTGGCCAAATACTCACTGTAGATGGGACAAAACCTCAAAAACCACATTGAGGTAAAAAAAAAAACATTGAAGTGAAAATTAGACTGCAAAAAAATTGTTTTATACATTTTGTAGTTCTGTCTACTTGAACCTCCATGTAGGACAGTCAGCTCCTAGGGATATTTCTTGTAGGGCTACAAAAGAACAGCAGCTTAAGAATTTATACCCTTCACACTCTTGGAGAAAAAGTAAAAAAGAGGACTACTAGAGGACTAAAGAGGAAAAACTGCAAATATGAAAAAAAAGCTGGAACATTTGTCTTTCACTCTTTTTATTACTCCTTCCTTAGTATGATAATGCATGCCATACATCTGCTGTACGTTGACAAGGAATAGGTGTTGGACTTTTGCACCTTCGCCAAACAAAATGGTAGGGTTAAGTAGGGTTAAATTCAGGGACGGTAAAGCCATAGAGTACATAGAGTCGTAATGTAAATGGGAGAGCTGGCGCCATGTTCTGCTCGACGAGTTCCGAGCCCGGTGTGCGCCGAGTTCGGGTCACTTTTTCGATACATTTTCGATCCAAAATGGCGGTGTGGAATACATGGTGATTCCTATCTCCTTCGTTGTTGTTGTTGTTGTCATCGGATGGCCGGGTACCCGTGTATCGCAAACAATCGATTATGTATCGAAAAAGTGACCCGGCGTCACACAGGAGTCTCGGAATTCGGGACATGGAAAATGCTTAAAAGTGGCGCCAGCTCTCCCAATTACATTACGACTCTATGTACTCTATGGGTAAAGCACAGGATTATCCCTTGTGGGATATTTGAAGTGTAAAAGAAAAAAAAAGAAGAAAAAATTAAAACTTGAGATGAACGCACCAGAGGTATTTTTCTGCAGTTCCAGTAAACCCGCTTCAATAGATCGATGGCGTGAATTTCCTCCTTTAACAATCAATAACTTAGGCTCGCATCCAATTGCTGATTCAATCAGCTCTTTGGCCTTCAGCACATCATCAACAACAAGGATGACTAACTTGACCCATGCGATTTTCAGAAATGCCTCCGCAGAGTAACACAGTAATGGCTTGCCCTGAAATCAGACAGAATAAAGTGATAAGGGCAACTATAATAAATCAGTGAAGAGGAGCAGAAATGATGGTACTTACAAAACAAAAATAAAAAAAATACCTTTCCTTAAGTAATTTTGTGATGAAATACAGGAGCCGACAGGCGGGCGGGAACCCTGGAAAAAATGTTGATAGGTTGATCGTTATATAGGGTGATTTTGGGGCAGTTTGCCTTAGTCACACGGCAAATCACGATGACTACAGTGGGCCAATCCGAGCTCTGATGGACCATAATTCCCGGTCACTTTTTCGATTCCAGCCCGCCCCTGACTGGACTTGTAAAATGAGTCTGAGGAATATACACATCCATCCTTTGGTTGGAAAGAGACCCTCATGGCTTTAAACCTATCATACCCTGATAACACCTGGAAGAATCAGATGAATGCTCATCAAACTCCCGCAAATCAAAGCGTCTAGACTGGTAAACTACTTAAAAAACGTTATTCAAGGTAAAAACTAACCATGATCATGGTGTACTGCTTGGCAATGGTACCGCCAAAACGCTCACCTCCACCTGCAGCCGGCAGAATCACCCCAACGCCAAAATCTATCATGTTTCAGAAGATCACACGTAGAGAGAACGCGAAAATGCCGCACCAGCTGGTAGGGTTGACGAAAAGGTTGGGGAAAATGAAAAACGAATCGAAGATTACATGCTGGAACTTAACGACTTAGTCGCGAGCACGGATATGCGACGCCCACATGAGCTGTGACTTTTGACATTTTAGACTCGCCGGTAAAATGTCAAAACACCATTCCCGTGATAGAAAAGCTCGTCTTATCACACACTCCCACTGTTGTCGTTTGTTTGTTTACATTTGTGGTTCCCCTGTCAGTCGTTGTGCGCCACTATCGTGAAAACAGCTGATTGGGGTCCTTGAGCCTTGACCGCAATCGATTTTGATAAGAGCGATTCTTTACTCTATTCGATGATGTCGATTGTTGGAGAGACCCTAACCTCTTTACAGTCATGTTCGTTGTCGTGGTTGAATTTTCGTCACAAATGGCTCGTGTGTGATGTTTGCACACGTAAATTAAAATCCCACCTGTGCACCATCTGTTTGTTTTCTTGTTCCTGAGGTTCTATGTGTATTGTGTTTCGAAAATTTCATCTAATTTTTATGCGGCGATAATGTGTTGTTTCCGCACGCATTGTGGGATGATGTGATATGATGTGCCTTGGATAGTCCACTCTTCTTTTATTTTTACTGAGACTTGCGCTTTCATTTTTTCTTCATTCTCTTTGACAACTCAATATCACCAGTGATCGCATGCTTTCAGTCGGAATTTGCCTCAGCTTCATGGTCTAATCTGAGTGATACATTGTGTCGATGGAGTTGACAGTCAATATCGTATTGACTGCCTTATTCATCCAGTGTATTCCATCTAATACTAATTGAACATGAATTCTTAGTCTAATTGCTATAATCAATGCTGGTTGCCCCTTAGCAGTCATGGGTGATGAAAATCTGAACACCTTTGCCAATCTCAAAACAGATGGTGCTTTTGATAATGCTGGTATGTATTGTCACGTCTCAAGAGAGAATTTTCACAGTCATCTTCCCAACCTAGATATAAAATTTTAATACCCCTCTCGATCATATTTTGAGGAATCAAAATGTTTAGTGTCAAGCAGGGTAATTGAACAGTATGATTCTTTACCTCGGCAGCGCTGCCGCTTGTCATTTAATTATCCTACTTACCCTTGCAAACATTCTTTACAAAATTTATGTTTTGATGTACTGAAACATCTGCCTAAAGATGGGGTATGATGAGACAGTTCTCTTAAATGAAGTTAGGACTTAGCAAGTAAGTTTAGGGTTTTCATGATGTTTATCTTCTGCACACCTTCAAGGTGAATCTATGAAGTTCTCACAAGTGTTTAGTGACACACAAGGATGATTGTACAACAGAAAAGGCAGTACAGAAACGTGTCATAAAATTAATCAAATCTTTAAAAAATATGAAACTCGCGCACTTCTCACAATCTCTGATTGGCAGATATTCATTTAGTCCATCGCCAGGTGCGTCATTTGGGGGATGGTACTTAGGCTGGGCATTTACCTGGGCGTGCGTTTTTGAGTTGGACTGAGGAAATTCTTTTGGCACTACAAGAGAGGGTAAAAAGGCTGGTGAGTTGTCAGAAGGCGTTTCAGCTTGCTTCTCTTGCTTCTTGACGAGGAAGAAGAAGTAGTAAATAGTTATTAAACTATCTACATTACATAATAATGGGTTATTTATCCCAAGTGCGCAACCATATTGCTACCCGCTATACGAAGGTAGGTGGGTACGTAAATTTAAAAAAAGAAATTTGTGCAGGCCTGTAAAAACATGAAATGGCGCCGCTTCCATTGCCGATTCAGCAGGGATTGTCTGAATGATAACAATCCTTGATAATGACGAGGCCAGTGATCAGCTGAAACTCATCTAAAAGAAATAAATCATTAAATAATTGTGGAAAAATGTCACAGAAAGTTTTAAATTTTTCCTCTAAAACATACCTGTTGATTCAAAAGTTATACTTAGTTGTATAACAGACTTTTAACAGTGTCAAGTAACTCAAAGCTTCATTAATTACGTACCCACCATGCCACTGTAGTGATGATAGAGACCAAGTACATTCAGCAGAAAGGAACCGAGCCACGTCAGCTATTGCCAAATTTAAGTGGGCGATTTAATTCTTTACCTGAAAATGGTCGTGTGGATTTTTATGCAAATTTCAGTGAATTTTCTGTGTAGTACAAGGTTCCTGTCCACGAAACGATTCGTCACGAAATAATTATTTTTATTGTAACAGAAAGGTAATCATGGTGAATTATGACTTTTTCAGGAGATCCAAGCGCTCGTCAGGTTACCAAAACCGATCTGGTGCAGTTAAACACCTCTAGCCTTCTCATTGAATCTTTGATCGAACAGTGGTGTAACTCGTTGGATGTGAACCCTGAGGAGCAGCATAAATTATACCTCAGTAAGAACAAGATTAAGTGTCCACTATTTACTGGATGTAGTAAAAAATTACCCCCCAAATTCACAAGTCATCTGAAAATAAACTTTCAAACTTGTCAGATTTTGAGGAATTTTTGCATGTCACTACTTCTGAATTGAGAGAAAAGTTCAGAGGCTTGCCAAGATATCTTAAGTTTTCCACACACACACACAAATCTGAAATTCTGGAGGTAGTTAAGTTTGTTACTTTCCGACAAGTTTTAATAAAACAGAATTCAGAACTGGAAATAAATTTTAGAGTAATCAATTTATATTTGTAAATGAGTAAATTGTTTATTGAAGTAAGTTGACTTAAAGTGATGAATTTAAACAATTTTTAAAAAAAAGTGTCACAGAAAATACTACCTTGATAAAAGAAAAATAGATTCGGCTAATTTTTGGTATGGTACCTACAGAAAGAATAAACCATTATTTTTTTTAGTACCTACCCTAAGTAGAAGTACTATGAATTAGAATGACCTTCATTAGCACCACACTGTAAATCTAATAGTGTACATTACTATTGTGCAGATTTGTAAAATGTTACTCACTAGTATCTTAAATCTATTTTTGTTATGTGCAGTTCTTTAACGAAAGATTCACTAAAGAAAAAATTTATTCCTTCATTCATTCAATGTATTGTGTGAAAAAAGTCTCTTGATTCTCAAAAGTTTTGATGAACTACCATTTACCTAAGTTCTCTAACAAACTGTCAATAGATTGCATTTTATGAACATTTGCTTCTATTTTTTCAGAAATTTGCGAAAAACTCTGTGAGAAAAAACTAATTGATGAATCCTTCCGTCAAGACAAATTTAAGTTCATGCGAAGTCATTACCAGAAGGCCTTTTTTCATGTGATAAATGTTGCCAAAAATACGCAGCCAGAAATATCGAATCAACAATTGATGCTAATGCCTCGGTAAGTATGTAACATATATTTAGGTAAGTGTTTTTAGTCCAGGGTACTCAATGAACCAGTACTACTGCTGTGGAAATCATCACAGAAATTGAGCTGTCTTTCTACTAATCAAAAATTAATGAAGCAATTATAATTTGTAAATGATGAGTACATAATCGGAAGCTTTATTCTTTCAGCTTTTCAGGTACATTTTTTATCATGTTTGATGCAATGGCTTTTTGACTTCTAGGACAAAGTTGCCTTAGGAAAACCATATGTTAAAGTAGAAGCTTAAATTAAATACTATATTTAATGATAAGTCCGTCAAGAATGAAAAAAACAAGGTAATTTTGTGAACCTACAGGTATGACAGAACTTCTCCAACTTTAAAAATTGAGGGAAAAAAAATAAATACCTAATTACCTAAGTCAATTGCTTAAAAAAAAAAAAAAAAAAAAAAAAAACCAGTTCAGCACACTCGCATAGGGCTTATTGCACTCGAGACATTTGAAAATTATGTTGAGCATATCAGAAAAGTCTTAGATTCACACTGTAATGCATGCTTAGCGCAGGGTATCTTTCTGGTTCTCTTTTTTCTTCTTTTTTTCTTTTTTTTAATGTTAACAATTATTGCATTCTAATCATTTCTTTCCAGGGCTCTTAATGTAAGGTCTGAGAACTTATTTCAGTGGTCCCGCTATAGAGATGATTTTGAGGAATTAGAATTCATTGCTCGCGGTGGATTTGGTCATGTTTACAAGGCAAAAAACAAATTAGACAATGGAATCTATGCAGTGAAAAAAATATTTTTAAGGTAACCTATTGTACATTTTTACGATTTTTAAAATCATCCTTTCTTGGTTTCTAAAAAGTCCTCCATATCTCCCTATACATGCGTTTCTTTCCTCTGTATCCAACACCTACACAAGCCTCCCAGAACTTTTAATTTGATTTTTCCAATCCAGATCATCCTTAATGATTTAATCAGGGCAATGTACAATCAAATCAACAAAGTCTTGCAATTGTGGCTTCTCTTGAAATCTGATAAAACATCTCTAAAATAAAAATGAAATGAATTAAAAAATAAAAAAACATCTACTCACCTACTTTAAGAGTTAATTTCTATTCTGTTACCGATCCTCCATCTCATGTATCATCGACTTCAAAGCACATTGAAGGGGTATTTTCAAAATTTTAAAAAAATACCGTCAAATTTTCGTTCTATTCCTGTACCGATTTTTAACTAATTACGGTTTTCTCTTTGTATTCCAGTTATTCTGATGCCAATGCCTTTCTTAGAAGTTTACATGAAGTACAAATGCTGGCAAAACTAAATCATCCCAACATAGTGTCCTACAAAGCAGCATGGCTTGAACCTGTTGAATCAAAAGCTAAACCACCTGAGCCAACTAAAGTTTCAGATGATTTGTAAGTATTTACCCTGCCACTTTTTTTGTAGTTAAATTTTCTTATAAGGAGATGTCTAGATAACGGTCCGAACAGACTTTTCAATGAATCTGGGCTGAGCAAACCTGTTTGATTATCTATGATATTTCTAGGTTGATGAAATTCAAGTATTATATTTATTACTCACTTGGTAGTAGTTACTCACCTCTATTTCTAATCTCTTTCACAATAATAATTGAGACTATTCATTTTGAAAACAAAATCCTCCAAACAGTTCCTTCAGTATTGAGTAACACTCCTTGAGCCTCTCAAAAGCCGCACATAAATTTTGGACACGCGGTGGCAAGAGAGAGGTGTGGAAAAACTGATGTTACTTGGCACCCAGATGACCGAATTTCAGAAACTGAAGCTTTGTAGAAAGCTGATAGTATAACAATTAAAACCCTTTTTTAGATTTAAATTATCTTCATTAGTTTAGAAGATATGACAAATGAGGGTTTGAAGGACAAGGCGCATAAGTACAGTTTTTTATATTTCTAGAAATATGTGTTTGAAGTTTCGAAATTGCGTGGATCCCTCTGGTGGGAAGTAAGTTCAAACTGACTTTTTGATGCTTAAAAAATGGAATTCAGGAGCGAATTTTTCACATAATATGCGTTAAGACCAGTTTTACTTGAAATCATTAATATCTCAATTTTTTCAAAAACTGCACTTATGCGCCGTGTCCTCCAAGCCCTTCAAATATAAACTTACTTTATGAATACCCCTTATTTTGCTTCTCAAATACTAAATGTACAGGAACTTTGAAATGTTGCAAACTAACTTTGCTCTCTGCCTCAGGCAAGATGAAATGTCAGCCAGACTGAAAAATGACATGTCAAGTGTCGTCATCTTTAGAAACTCAAGTGACTCATCATCAACGGGGAATCATTCCTCAAGAAAAAGTGACTCCAACAATCATTTGAGGAGCGCTACCAGCAATAATCATAAGTTTCCTGCCAGCAATGCCTCGAAGAGTTGTGTCTGTGATTGTTCTAAGAGCTCAAATAGTAACCATTCACCCAGTTTGCACAGCAATCATTCACCTAGCTCACGGAGCAATCATTCACCTAGCTCACGGAGCAATCATTCGCCTAGTTCCCAGAGCAGTCACTCGCCTAGCTCCCGGAGTAGTCACTCACCTAGTTCCAGGAGTAATCATTCCCCGAGCTCTCTCAGCAATAACGTTGAAGATCCTGGCAGACCATCAACTTATTTACGCACAAGGACAAAGAGCAGTGGCAAAAGTGAGAAATGTATGAAGTCATGTTCGGATGATTGTAAAGCTCTTTGTCCCAGAAACATTTATGCCATGAATCATTTTGAAGACAATCGAAATTATCAGGTAAAGTTCTATGTCTTTTAATATTAATGCTCTTTCTATCAATTTCACAAAATAAAGTCAATGCTGACACATTTCAAGGCTCCGCATTCCATTCATGAAGATTGAACTTCGGAGTTGCCGGGATTTCGGTCTGAAGAAGGGACTGCAGGGTCCTGAAATGCGTTGCCATTTACTTTAATTTTTTTTGGGAGTTAGATTTTTTTTTATTCGTCCAGCTCACTGGTTGTTAACTTGTATTTTTCGTTAGTTTCAGTTAGTAAGTTCCATCAGTTTTTGTCTCTTCCAGTTTTGCACTCGCTTCCTCTGTCAATGATAAAAATTCAAATTACAGTGCATTTTAAAAATCTTTCCACAGATTTTTATTTTCTTGAAAACCATACAGTTTCAATTACACTGTCTAGGACTCGATCAAGAGAAATTTTTATTTTGTACCAAATGAATTTTTGAAACAACATTAAAATTGAAAGAATTAACTGTCAAATGCTACTGTGTGAGATATTGTCCAGTCTTTATTACTTTTTTAATTTAAACAAGAAATCTTTGATTTTAGGTGTTGAATTTTGAAATACTACCATATTTATTTTCATCCTTTCATTCAGTTAGACTTCTCACCTAATCCGTTCCTTCAATTCATCCGTTCCTTCCAACTGCAATCTTTGAGTATTCTAAAGTTTCTTTTTCTGTTAAATCCTGTTGTTATTTTTTTTAGGATTCTGCTATTTTATTTATTCAAATGCAGCTGTGCAAACAAACATTGCGGCAGTGGCTGCACTCTCGGAACTCCTCACACAAAGCCCCAAACCTTCGTCTAAGTTTCAATCTATTTGAACAAGTTATCAGCGGTGTGGAATATATACATTCCAAAAATATTGTTCATCATGATATCAAGGTAACTAATCATTTTTATCAACTCATTTTCTAACCGAAAATCATAGATCTGGAAGGATTCAAATGAAGCTTCAGCAGGATTGGCAACAATTCCTGATGTAAAATTATTGACTTTTTTTTGCAAAGGTCCCAGTTGAGGCTGGGCAACATTGTAAATGATTCCAGATGATGCTGTAAAACTTTGTTATAGGTTAATAGTTCAGAGTATCAAGAAAAACAGTGCGCAAAAAAGTATCAATATTAAATTTGAGACATATTTACTCTCTTGTTATGGTTAAATGTCGGTCTAATGGAAGGCGCGTCAACTTATCTTCCCTTTTCCAAGCTATACATTCTTAGAGATGCTAAAAAAAATTTCAAACTCTAGCCAATAAACATTTTAAAAAATCTTTTTTATCTGCCTTGATTTGTAAAATATATCAATTGAGACTAAATTGTGAGATTTGAGTCACAGGATATTCCTTAGTATGGAGAAAAATAGTAACTTTTTACTAAGGATAAAATGGTTCAACTCCTTCTTTTCCAGTATTTTTTATTTTTATTTTTCCTTGAGCATGGCTGTAGGTATGCCTTTCATTTAGTTTGATTTTTATTTCTACCCTCAGAGTGTAAGCAGATTGACAGGCTAGATTGTGCTGTGTTGAAGATGGGTCCAACCAAACTCGAAATGTTTTGTATGGTCGTATCTAGTGTTGAACAAAACAGCACCTCATTGTGCTCAAATAAGCAATTTTCCTCTATTGTGACGTTTTCATTGTGTAGCATGGCAAAATCACCATCTCTTTTTTTTTAAATCAAATATTGCTTAAAATTTAGTCCCTCTTTTCCGTGTTTGAAATCACATGGTCATAATTTCAAACTTTAAATAAATAATCTTTTGCATTATCAGGCAACCCTATTAACTTACTTTCAGCTAAAATTTATGTGGGATATGACATTTCTTTTTTCAGCCAAGCAACATCTTTATTAGTGAAAATTTTCAAGTCGCCCAAGTAGGGGATTTTGGTCTTGCGTGCCTTTTGTCTCATGAGCCTTTGAACCATAGCAACAACTTCATCACGTGTCCCCTCCAACAAAGACAATTCGGCACAAAATTGTATGCTGCTCCAGAACAACTGCAAGGCACTTGTACCCCGAAAGTAAGTTCTTCCGTTTAGACATTTTCTATCAGTCTTCTGAACTCCTCTTTAATAACTACAGCACAATTAAAAAGAATAACGGTGTTATTACGTCCTATTGCTATGTACACTCAAGAGGCCTTGCGACCCAAGAGACAAACACATCAACGGCGAAAACTCCCAAACGATCTACCTCATTTGCGATGTTTAAAAATACCCGCTCCTATCTTATCATTATGAAGAGAACAAATCAACATCATTCCTTGAAGTTTTTTCAGAGTTTGCCTCGCACAGAGAAGAAAAATCACAGAAGTTTTGTAGAATTGACGATGAGGAGCTCTTTGTTTAAAAGATGAAGTATGACAGGCAGTCTGCATTGTCGCAAACCAAGTGGCTTTTTCCAAACTGAGAATTTGTTTTTTTCTTAATTTATTGATTTTTCCATCAAAGAAAATTTATTAGTCGTAGTGCAAGAAAGATTGCTTTAAATATATGTATATTTTTTTACAAGTGTAAGATCAAAGAAAACAATAATTAAAAATCATGAAAACTTTAGTGAAACTATGCTAGTGATCTGTCCAAAGTCTGTTGTATTGTCCATTTGAATACTTCAGTACAAGAATGTTCTCTGTAAATTTGCTTTGTAGATTGATCTCTTCTCTTACATTATTTTAATATTTTTTATTACTATAATAATCTAAACCTCCCTCTCTTTCGTTTATTTTTCAGAGTGATATTTACAGCCTAGGAATAGTACTGTTTGAATTAGTTTGCCCTTTTATGACGGAAATGGAACGAGTTCAAGTGATTGGAAAACTTCAGACAGGCTACATTGCCCCTGAATTTCAATCTGCTAGTCCTGAAATCGTAAGTCTTATTTTATCTCTTTTATCCTGCATGTTTTGTTTATCGAAATGACCACTAATTAAAATAGAAGTATTCCTTCTTGCAAAAGAACTTCCCTTAACCATTTTTGCTGCACAAATAATTTAAACTTGGTACAAAATTAAGAATCATGATTTTTATTGCCTTAGAGGATTTTTAAGTATATAATTGAAACTTTGAATGTTTTGGTGAAGGTTGGAACTTCAATAAGTATCTACATCAAGCAAATAGTCTTGCTTTTAGCTGTGTTATTCAGAATATCAGTAGAATTTGTTTAGAAATAGTCAAATCTATCGGGAAACAGATTACTGGAAAGCTAAATATTTTTTTGTGAACTTTTTCATTTAAATTATTCAGTTCGAAATCCCTCTTTGATTGAATTTGATGGCACTAGCAAGCGTTACTTTCTTCATCATCTTGAACTATACAATACACTAGTCGTGCAGAGGCCCAAAGATTTCATTTGCCATTTTTGCAATATTTGCCTCCGAATTTGGGCAAATATCAAGTTTTTCTTTGTCCAAGTGCAGTAATGCAACGATAAACTAAATCAGTTCTTCGAATGATGCAATCAGCAGTACGTCATGCGCGAGTGAGCAAGACGTAGGTGGCAAGCAAAGAAAAATACAGGATAGGCAGATTGAAATTTCTTCTCACTGGCATATCCGTTGTCCCAAGTAAACGAAAAGCTCTGCATAATAAAGTTGAAGTAGCAATCTTCAAGAATAAAGCAGTGTCCCTAACAATCTCAGACAGTGGGTAACCAGGTTTCTGCTGAAGTTTAGAGGTAAATGTATCAACAACAGCTTATGTGGGGCATAAGCGCAGGGTGATAAAAAAATGATTTATTTATTTTCCATTATATTTGATCAGTCAGCCCCAGTGGTTATGTGATTAAAGCAGTTTTCTGCCAGCATTGAGATCCCAGGCTCAATAATCAGTAGTGCTTGGCCTTTAAGGACATCCAAAAGTCTGTCATTGCTTTTTTAGGGCTGTGCGAGTATTCAAATTTCGAGTCGGGTCAAAAAGTTAGGTTAGGTACTCGAACTTGGCTCGAGTGCCAATTGCACGAGTTTTTTCGAGTATTCCGAGCTTTTTTGAGCCAGAAACGTCGAAAAAGTTCAACTCCCAAATTTTTCAATCATACTCTTACTATTCTTAGTTTTGACATCATCTTTTGATTGAAAAATCTTGTGTTAAAACTGAAAATTACTCAAACTTGACTCGGCTCCAGGGTCATTTTCAAAGCTCAAAAAAGCTCGAACTTGGCTAGAAACAGTGGAAAAATACTCGAACCCAAAAAACCAGGCTTCACAGCCCTACCTTTTTTATATCTTGCTTTGTTTTCATACCTGAATGACTTTTTTTAGGCTCATATTATAATGGAACTAGTCAATAAAGATCCCGGAAAACGTCCAACGGCAAAGGAGCTTCTCACTTTGGTTAAGAATTTCCGTGACATGAACTCGGCCAGATTCAAACACATAGCTGATCAGAATAGGATCATTGAAGAACTTCGCACGGAACTTGAAACCAAGGATAAAATTATTTCTGATTTGAGAGAGAAATTAAGACTGTATGAAGAGGCTAGAAAGTCAATTTAATACCTCTTTCTCATAGAAATCAGGTTTTTATATGGTGGCGTTCCTTCCTTTCCGAAGAAATTGAGAAATCGTCAGAATCACGTGAGAATTTTTTACTCTTTTCTTCTTTTAAACATTTTAGATCTTGATTTTTTTTATGAATCTTTTAATATTAGGTTTATACTCTGAACCAGGATTTTCAAAGATAAAAGACAAATGGTGTCTATTCAGTTTTTTTTTTTTTTTTTTTTTTTTTTTTAAATTAGAAGTTCCTGTTAGGAATTGAAATAACCGTACAATCTCTAAGTTAGGTATTCCATTGGATAATTTCATCCACCTTTATTTTTCTAATTTTGATACAATGAAAATGCACCTTGAAAACTGATCCTTAAAAATAACTCAATGAGCAAGGCTCTTGTTTTTAATTTTTCTTTTTTCTGAATTTCGCCAAAGTCTAAAGAAATTTATCCATAAAGGTGACTTGTGTTTTTGTTTTGTCATTATCATTATTATTATTTATTTCCTTTAGTATTGCAACCCTGTGATTTTAGTACTTAAACTCTAGTTTTATTTGTTGCCATCCCATACTTAATTATAGATTTTTTAAATCTTATTTGCTATCTTTCTTCTTGTGTTCCTCATTTTGTTTTTTTAACGCAGGCTTAAGAAAGTTTTTTTAAAGCAGATTTGCTTTTTAGTTGTGCAACAAAGCCGTGTATATTCTAGGTTTGGCCAGAGGCTCCCTAAAAAGTGTTAACACTTTCAAGCTAAGTCCCCTGACAAAGACTTAAAACCAATCAAGGGGAATAGAAATTGATCCTTCAGAAAGAATGTTAAAACATTGAACTATAACTTTAACTCTCAAGAATCCATGCTGGTTCCTTTCGGCTCAATTCAACCAAACGGAATTCTCTATCATTGAATTTACAGTTGAGTTGAATATTTTGATGAATTACGACCTTTGGAAAATTTAGGGTTCAGCATTATGCACCAGTTATGCAAATTTATGAGGTCTTGGAGCTTATACTATAGATTCTTTGTAAACCAACCAAGAGCAATACTGCACCAATCAAAATCCAGCCAAAACAATATAATTTGGCTGAAAAACTGGGAAAAAATGGAATGTGCGGTCTCAAAACAAAAATATATAACTGTGATTGGACATAACCTTGCTTTCATTTAGGCTTTTAAATTTTTGAATGAAAAATAGTAAGCATGAAATAGACCTTGTATTTTGGCCATGGTAAGTAGCCCAGGTGATTTGAACCTGGGTCACTGCAACCACAACGCAGAGTCCTATTTCATGCTTGCTGTTTTTCATTCGAATAATGTTTATGCCTTGATGAAAGCAAGGTTATGTCCAATCACAGCTAGGTATTTTCATTTTGCGACTGTTCATTCCAACATTACCCGTTTTTTCAGCCAAATTCTTTTTTTTTGAGACCTTTTGAAAATTTAGACTCTAAATCTATATTTTGATCATCTGCAGCACTGACAAGACTTTGAATTGAGCAAGGGGACTAGAAATCCAATCTTCAAGGAAAGTAAACACTTTGAACTATAACTTAAACTTTCAAACAATTTTCAACCACCTTCAAACAACTTAGGCTACTAAGTTCAGCTGCGGAAAATTTTGATTGGCTTGTGCACTCTTTAATTTCAGCATTTTGTAAGTGAAAACAATGCTCAACAACAAATATCATGTACTTGAAAAAGGTACTTTATCCAAGGAAACTTCTAAAATTTTACAAAATATCCTTGATAACACACATTTCGGAACATTTGAGATTCAATCTTAATACACTTACATTGTGTTTAAAATTTTAAATTTCAAAAATAATTTTCTTACTTAGATTCCTATAACTCTGTACAAACAAGCATAAAAACGTCTAAACAGTCTTGAAAACGGTACATAAAAAACATCTCACAAGAAAATAAACATTTAAAACAGGCTAAAATTTTTTAAAATGAATGTGGTTAATATAGAAAACCAACAGATGAAATAGGAGGAAGATTATAATTTGATAATATATGCCATTTTTCTCTTTCCCATTCCCCTCCTATGTCTCATTTAACGTTACTGGATCAAAATCTCCTGTTTTAAGCAAAAATGTATGCTAATGGCATGCTGTGTGCTTATGGAATGTTTCAGCTCCATCCTAATGTAAAAAAGTCCATCGTAAATAGAAAAGGTGGTTTGAACACTATAACTTTTTGTGCTGAGCAATCATTGAGCTTTAAAATAATTTCCAATTTTTGTTTAACAGGACTACTCACTTGGTTCAAGTTTTAATGAAATTTTCAAATCTAAACATTAACATTTTTCCTTCAGCTCCTATTTCATTCTTCACAATCATAACAATACCCTCGTAAAATGTTCAAATTAGGTATCACAGTGTAGGTATGACTAAAAAAGTTCTGAATAAACTAACATAATATATAATTTTTTTTCCTAAGTTTATTTCTTTTTGAAATGATGTTAGTATCATATAGAAAATGAGCAAAGATCATCAAATTTTTGTTTTCTGTACCATCATATTTTACATGGACATTTTAATGATCACCGTGGCTTTTCAAATCTCATGCATATTTAACTAAGACCACCAATTATATACATAGATTGTAAATGTATGCTCAAGTATTTCTGTATGCTACTCCTATAAAACGTAAAACATTTGATCAAACTGATTCCATAAAATACACTCAAAGGAACTGAATTTTTGCAGGTACGATTTGTTTTAGTTATCATCACACATGTAAATGCCGATTTCTTCTTACATACGATCTTTTTTTATGTATTAAAATGTTTTAAAAAGTATTTAAAAATAATTAACAACTATTTACAATGCGGGATTGAAACAAGAGAGAAAAACGCTAAATTCAAAGTGAGCTGAATTCTTCCAACAACCGTTTTCCGAAATGCGTTATGATGTAATCGTGATAGTAGGTCATTATGCACAAGGGATGGCTCATTATCAATGAGGACCAGACGATGATATTTCCCCACGGCGGCCCGAATTTCTTCTCAATTTTATGACACAAGACTGAAAGAGGTATCTGTAAAATGAACCAGGAAAAAATAAGAATTGAGTTAGCATGATCATAAGTGAAAGAAATAAACAAACAAAAGAGGGAACAGAAATCAAATGTAATGTCAAATTCCCCAAATTCGCAATTTGAAAGTGGGTTTATTCTCCATCGGACCTTAAATTAGAGCTTTTCATGCAAGATAATACTTCATTACTAGCAGGTATCTTCAAAATTAAACTATAATCGCTAAAATTCAAAATTCAAAACCTTGCTTACCTAATCTTTGGCCCGTTCGGAAAAAAAGGAAAGTTTTGATTTTTTTTAATTTTAGCGATTTCAGTCGTAATTTGAGTAGACTTTCCTTGTTTTTTACCTTTTGTTTTATCACCATTTTAAAAGGTATCTTCTAATTGCAATTTCTAAAGCCAGCTTTCTGTAATTATGATTTATATCAGAGTAGGCAAGAATGTCAGCATAAGTAGATTAACTAGTGCTTGGGGTTTAGAAAAAGTGTGAGTGTAATAAAAGTATTTATAGAAGCTTAAAATTAGACTAGGTGTACTTTCGGCTCACTAAAGTTTCATCGAGTTCTTGTTGCAGAATTATAATCAATAGAATAATGCAAAATTTTTGGGACAGAAATCGTTGAAAATAAATTTCGCATCTGCTCAAGAGCCCCTCAATTATATCAAGAATTTAGCAAAGAATCTAAGATTTTATTACCTGGAACATCATTCCCATGAAGGCATAGACTTTGAAAGTGCGTAGTGGAACAGAGACCATGTATTCGTGGAAAAATGCACTCGTGAAGAAAACAAAAAATGTCGCAGAACCCCTCTTGAATCCCAATTTTAGGAGTGGACAGTACAAATGCCTGGAAAATGGACATACTTAAATCATATCTTACTATTATATTTACACATAATGTGAGATTAAACATGCTTATTTCTTACTTAGCCAATTGAAACGCTAACCTCTTCCATGCATCTAAACTTCATTTTTCAAGTATTTAATTAATTTTAATTTCTGCTCTCCAATTTTTGGTACAATGTATCACAAGGAGATGTGTTTTAAATTAATAATAAAGTTCTGTCAGCAAGAGGAAAAAATGTGATCATAATATCTAATTGGTAGAAACGTAAACCATCATAAATGAAAGGTAGAAAAATGAGTTCATACCTGACAGCCCATTGATGAACGGGGAAATTCCAGTTCCTCCAGAATGTGTCGATGTTATTTGCATTCCACCAGTCTGAGTAAAAGTTACGGTCTGCAAAATGAAGTAATTCTCCAACCACATTCAATGCTGAGTGGAACATCAGATAAAAGAAGATCAACCATAATAGATGGTTTGGAATCTGGAAAAATTAAGTTCTCAGTTGAAGATAGATTATTATGGGGGGGGGGGGGGGCAAATACATAGTTGAAAAATATTTTCCCAGCAAAAAGCAAAACCATTAATTTTTCAAAATCGTGGAATTCTTTTTTTTTCTCTACCGTGCTAAATTTCTATTCATGCAGGCATATATTTCTAAAAACGAAGATACTTGCTCTTATTTAGGCAGGTGCCTTCATCGTCATTTAAAATTGCATTTTTAACAGATTTTTGTTTCATCACCTCCATTTAACAGAATGAAATATTCTTGTGATTGAGGCTCTCCTTATAGTCCAGCAGCTCGTAGCAGCTCTGAGGCATCATTAAAATTAATTTGACTCTACATCCCATAAAGCATAGATTGCAATAAATAGCAATTACATAGTAAAAATATTGCAATTCAGTGTTGTGTATGTTGCCTAGCTCCTTTTTGAAGGGGCCCCATTTATTGAAACTTATTGCAATAAAATTGAAGTAAGTTGTTATTTTTCATTGCGCAATGCGCATTGCATATTGCCTATCTTTCTGACACAAGGAACTCATTTTGTTGATTATTCAAAATCGACATAAATCGACTAAATGATGTAAAAATATTGCAATTTAATGGTAAAAAAATTACAATGGTATTGAAATCAAATTGCAATTTAATCACAATATTTTCGTCGCACTTTGCTACTTGGGCATCATGATAGAAATTTAAGTTGATCTCATCATTTATAAGAACAAATAAAGAACAGAAGAGGAATGTTTAATAAATAAAATGGGCACTTACTGCAAGTTTCAAAAGTCGTTCAGTTGCTTTTGCGACATCCATGTTCTGAAAAATTAGAAGATATAAAAATTATTCTTACTTGTGAAAGGACCTTTCATTTTTAATGTAGATTTGTTGAAGTATAGATGTAGGTATTGATAATTATCAAGTAGGTATGATATTACAATTAGAATTAAAATGACCCAAAAACTCCTACATCTTCAAGGATTCATATCATATCTGTGGTTCTGGAGCAGTAATGCCCTCCCCCCCCCTCCCCAAGAAAAAAAAAAAAAAACAAGCTCCTGTATACTTTAAGGTTTCCTCAAAACGATAATTTATGTCTGAATAGACGATCTCAATACAGACATTGTGCCAAACTGGGAAAAACAAAAACTTACCGAAAACGGAATGAGAGAATTTTTAACACAAGGAATGATCCACTGTTGGAAGAGGCTAGCCATCACCTGCATACCCACCAGTAATTCCAGAACGCGTTTCACCAGGAATCTACGAAACAGAATACAAAATTAAGGAAAACCCCAAATACTCTTATGTACTTACGTAGAAGACAGAAGTTTTCATGTAACAGAAGTTTCTGCGTTTCAGTGTATGCTTTTTATTTCGCTCTTTTAGCAGGCGGCGAATGAAGACGCAAACAAGAGAATTTCAAGAGCGGAAGTTCAAAAGCAGAGCGCCTTCACTCGGAACTCGAATGCAACTATTCTTGCTCTTTGGATGTCTTCGTTGCATAGACAAAATAGTGAAGGCGCTTTGCTAAGCTAGTCATCAGCCCAATGAGCCAAAAGAAATAAGGGAGGGTTTTCGGTACCCTTCTCGTCGCAACGCTATGCGCTTTGTGCACGTATTAAGTTTTTTCCCTAAGACCATCACGAAGAACTTGGAATTTTCAAAAAGCTCAATACTTCCGTGTGACAAGGGGTTAATTTCAAGGATTTCAGGAATCTATTCTTCGAGCCAAAATCGGATCTTCTTGCGAACAAATTTTTTACCAAAATCTCTCACCTCCGAAGCTACGATCCCCGTAAATTTCAGAAATAAATCTGTTTTTATGACATCGTGAAAGCGTTTACAGTGATGAAAGTGAATATCCTTGGACGTAATTTTAAGTGCTCCAGGTATCCATTTTTTATAATTATAAAAAGGAAAAATGTATTTGCAGAAGGAGGGAGATGAGATCGAAGAGAACCAACCGTCAAGTGATAAATATATACATTTCTGCAGTATTAACCACACCCCTCCTCCTCCTTCTCTTCCTCCTTCTCCTCTCACACCTCCGCCCCCCCCCCCCCCCGTGGCTGTGAAATGAGAGAGTGTAAGGAATGGGTTTTTCCTTTTTCTATTTTTGAGATAGGTATAAAATAAGTGTATAGAGCGCTTACATTATAACAGAGTTATCTTACACGCTTATAGATTCATGAACGCTCCTACAGTGTTTCCATGCAAGTTTTCTCTCAAATTTTGGCACGTAAGTGGATATTTTTTATTTATTTATTTTTTTTTTAGGAAATTTTACATTGTTCGAAAAAGTCTTGTTTTGACCAAAAAAAGAGCTTCCTAAAGCTTTGAACTCAACCCTGAATCATCTTATACAATACAGGCAAAGGCATCCTAAATCTTGAAAAGTTTCTTTCGTGATCTTAAAAGAAGAAAAAAACTACCTAAATTACCTTTTGCGTATACGATCCGTTCGAGGAAAATTCAGTTCATAGCATAGGGTTGGTGCCAAAATGAAGTAGGAAATATCTCGGATGTTCAAATTTTGAGGGTAGTGCACCAGGGAGTTGAGGGATGGTGGACTAATCGGTGGCTTCTTCCCATTTGACAAAGCTGGAAATCAAGGAGGTAGATGAAAATTCAGGGCTGGTTACTCAGGTAGAGAAAAAATCGACAGTGATAAGTAGGTAGGTGAAGCAGAAAGTTTTGAAGGGGGTTTTTTTTTGCGCGGAATGTATTTTTCAGTCAACTTAATTCTTAAAATCATCAAAGATTTTGATTCTATCATTAATACCGTCTCCGAATTAATGATGTCGTGAAACGTACATTTCTCCGACCAATCGAATGGCTCAAAAATGAACCACCCATCTTATTGAACGGTGCTCAAGCATTATTGAGGGGATTAGAGTATAAGGTGCATAAGTGCAGTTTCTGAAAAAAAGTAGGTATGAATTATTTCAAGTGAAACCAGTCGTAATGCATATTCCGTGAAACATTTGCCCCCAAATTCCGATTTTTAAGCATCAAAAAGTCAGTTTGAACTTCCTTTCCGCCATAACAATCCATGTAGTTTCAAAACTTCAAACACGTATTTCTCGAGAGATCAAAAATTGTACTTACGCGCCTTGTCCTCCAAGCCCCTCGATTTATACCCACATTTTTGAAATTTTCACTCGTGCTTATTTTTTTGGATAGAATGTGACCAATATTCACAATATTTGGAGCCGTATGATTAGGGTCATCCTGATTATTTTTCTGATGCCGCTCTCCTGCTTCCGGCGAGAAAAAATGTGAAAAAAAAAAAATAAATAAATAAAGCTGAACCAAGTGTTGGTAATTTGGGGCCCAACAACATGGACCCAATAAAGGAGGGTACCTACTTGCAACAAATCTGCTGATTCGTGGCTCGGCAGACCGAAGTGCTAAGCGCCCTATTCCAACGCCTCAGTTCGATCCAACGGCGACCCCGAGCAACTATTTTAACTCCCCGGAGATCAAATCGCATACTCGACAAATTGAAGGAGTTTTAAGTGCGTCCGCTGATCCGTGACCCGAAAATCTTATTAAGAGCGCCCCGCGATGGGCTGACGTGTGTCAATATGCAAGCAGCGTAGCAGTTTGTTTTGCTGTCCAGCCGGCCGATTATTGGAATTGATAGACAAAGCTATAGACAAAGAAGCAAAAGATATATGGAGAGATCTTGTTGGCGGAAGCGGGTGGTTGTAATGGACGAAGGAGGTAGATAATAGACCATAGCTAACGGCAACCCACGAGAGACCCGATAATTATAGTCCATAATTGTCTCCTTTAGTCTATGTATAGGAACCAAACATTTCAAGCAATATGATCGCTCCATACTCCCTATGTCTATCGTTTTGTCTATCAATTTCAATGATCAGCCCACAGCAACTATTTTAACGATACTGAAATCGTATTGCATATCCGACGAAATGAAGGGACCTTCCAATGGACAATATTAATTGATAAAAATACCGAGCGATAACGGCTTAAACGAACGACCATTTTCTCTTACTTCCCTCGCCTACGTTGTGGGCACGTTGTAGGTAAGAAGCTTCATCGCTGACTGTGTATATCTTCATATCATACGTGAAAAAGTATAGGAGGAAGCGATTGTATTAATTTTTCTGCAGCTCGTATAGTTCTCCAACGTAATTGAAAATTCGGAAGAAGGAAAAGCATGCTCACCATATTTGTTGACGGACAAACTTTGACGCCGTACATTGGTTTTGTTGACGGTGTTCAGCTGATAATCTTCGCGACACCATGAGTTTACGTGAACGTAAGACCATAACTTGAGAAAAATCACTGAGTATGCAAAACACACTACGGATGCGCCCACTGAAATGAATGAAAAAGAAAATCAAGGCATTGAATTTTACGGTGTCATCATTCTTCTTTATTTAATGAGCATAGTAATTCTGTAACTATAAACATAAAATTAATACCAATGGGTAATGAGTCAAATCTCTAGATTACTTAATCAGTTGAATTTAAAATGAAAGAATAACTAGATAACTTCACATGATGTTCAACTACTGAAAGCACTAAAGGCTCCATTGACCGTCGAGTCCATGTGAAGATTCTATTTTATCACGTTAGGAATAATAACCGACCGATCCCTTCCCCTTTTCCGTCTCAAGGTATATCAGTCCTTTAATTTTTTTCGTCCCGTAAAAGTGTCAATGAAATTTTTTTTCAAAAAACTTGGATTTGTTTTCTTTTCTATTTTATCAGTTCTCTTTTTTTTAATCAAGTCACGCAGGTAATCGATGACGGGAAGTGGAGAATCGCAATCTTCGGATTGTGACGTTGTAAATTCGTAATGCTGTGAACTCAAAATTAGTTCACTAAACGATAAAAGCACACCGAACAAGACAGATAGGTATTCTACTTTTAATAAAACTAATTAAAAAAACCAAAGGCGTTTTCGAATTATTACGAACATCATTCCTTACATTTACATTTCCTTACATTACACATTCCCCATACATTCCCTTACCTACACAGCGTTACATTTCCTTTCTGTGATAGAAATTTCGATTGAACAAAATGACAAGACCATCCTTCAGTACATCTAGGAAATGGTGTCAAATTAGTAAAAACGAGATCAATGACATGACGTATGATGTGGAGAAAAACGTCATAAACGGTTCTTATAGCTTAATCCCTACGCATCAGTGCTGAGGATAAATGCAGTGTGAACATTCGAATGTTGCCGAATTCCCCCAGACAAAAAAAAAATTATCTCAGAGAAAAGTTACTTCTGCATATTTTTTCTTGAAATTTTTAGACATTCCAGATCGAATTGCGACCAAAATTTCTGGAAAATTGGAAGAAAAAAATGTCCAACTTTCCAAATAAATTTGCATTTTATCGAAGGAAATTTCGCAACGCCTGGTGGTTCATACGGCGTTCTTCCTCAGTGCGGCAGTATACGGTTCGTTTATTACTTACCCAAGCTGAAGTAGGATGGGTAGAGCTGCAGAGCCACTATCGGCGTCAAAACTAAAACCATCAGGTTCACGACATGAGCTGTCATTCCGACTCGATTTGGAATCACCTCCTAAAAGAGAAACAACGCGAGTTAAATCAGGTACTCCTAAGACAGCACTCTAAAACGGATCATAGACATTGAAAGTAATGAATTAGATCAAAGATTACGTGAACACACCTATGACGGCAACCTATTGGGATTTAGCAATAAAAATTATAGAGCTCCTTGATTGATTCGGTAACACTGGCTACTCGTTAGTGGCGGGATTAGATGAAGAAAATTTTGGATGCTTCGATAGGTAAGAAGGTGATGTCGGTTAAAACGGTTGAGGTGTAAAAAATTACAAGTGAGTGAATTCCTAATCAGTAATTCCGATAATTTAATTTCGCAAAGGAATGAATTGGACGTATTTCTGCCAAACGGAACTATATGCATTACGACATGAGCCCTGAGACCCATAAGAAAATATGCATAACAGGGCTCACGTTATGATGCACAAAGTTCCGTTTGGCAGAAATACATCCAATTAACAATCCGCCAAGTCACATGGTAATGTCTTGGAAGGACTAATAACTATAGAGCAGTAGAGGATAAAAGGTTCTCTGGCGCAAAAATTGCCTTCAAAAAGATGGATATGCAACCTTACCACGTTCATATCCGAAGTAATCGTAAAAATTCCAGCGGAGCCCTTCCAAGAATTTGTGTCACTTTGTAAAGACGTGACGAGGATGTACGACACCACTTTTATAAATAAAATTAAAAAAACTGTCGAGGAGTCTCAAATGCTGTAAACTAAGACCAGTTTTAAGGTGAATTTTACAACAGGTTAATTTTTTAAAGCGATGTCGAACGGAGATAGTCCTGACACTACGTGCGATTGGATCAATAAAAGAATGAAATAATAATATAGAATGAAATAATAGAAATGATAGAATGAAATAATAATAGAATGAAATAGAATCGGGACGTGCGAAAACCGCTGAAGTCCATTTTTCCAGTAATTCAGTTTTTTTTTTGAGTTGCTAATACTTTTAAAAAGTTGATACAACCATAAAAGTGATGAAAGTACTCGTTTTGGGATTAACTTTACCCGGATACGTGTATTAACGCCACTTTCTTGGTTGCATCCAACTCCGAAAAGTATTATCAACTCAAAAAAACTGAAGACTGGAAAAATGGACATTAGCGGTTTTCGCGCGTCCCGATTCAATGGAGAACAAGGAAACAAACCAAACTCACCTGGTGTAACCCTTTTTCAATGAGTAAACAGAACATGACAGGGACACTGGTAACTGAAACACAAGGCATAAGGGAATGAGCACATTTCTGAAGAAATGTTCGTTTTCAACGGCACCTGAATCTGTTTGATATGGTTTAGAGTCTGCTAAAAAATTGCAAGATAACTTACAAATAGGCAGGGCCGGATTAAGGGGGTGGCCACATGGGCCGCGGCCCATGGCGGCAAATTTAGGGGGGGGGGGCAAATGTTGTAATTTTTTCAAATGTAGGTATCAAGAAAAAAATCTGATTCAGAAAAAAAATCACAAATGAGGAAAGGCGAACAAATCTCTCATATCCTGAGAGTTACACTAAAGTAATTTCTAATTTGTTCGTCTTTCAATGATACAAGAGACTTTCATTTCCTTTCATTAGCCTAGTTGAGAGAGAAACCAAACACGCAATTTGGCCTGGAGCGGCACGGCGCAGAGAGCAATGATGGCGAGAACTTGAAATTGAAAGGAGAAGCCCTATCGGCGCACCGGTCAGCATGAAACACCTATTAGCGCCTACAAGACTCCATGAATACTTCACGCATTGCGTCAAACGTATAATGCGTTCAGCAGCGGTTGGCGTGAAACTCATGGTGCCTACAAGACTGCATGAATACTTCACGCATTGCGTCAATAACAGTGCGGTCACTTGGTCAGCAGCGGTCAGCGTGAAACGCATAGCGCCTACCAGACTGTAGGGATACTTCACGCATTGCGCCAAACATAGTGCGGTTAGCGCGGTGGCGGAAATTAAGATCATTACATTCATGTTTATTCTTATTCTTAATTTTTTCGTTCTTTTCTTATCAATGAAAGGCATCGTCCACACAGAGATAGGTCTACGGAACTTAATTTTCGAGCAAAGTTCCGTGAACTTCTGCTAGTGTTGACAGGGCTTTCACAAAAAATGTGCCAAACGCGAGTAAACGCGTCTTATGTCCTCCTCCTCTGGCACGTTCACCTGATGGTTTCTATAGATGTTTCAAAACGAATGAGATGGGGCGGCAAAATACAGGCGACCCATGGGCGGCAAGAAGGTAAATCCGGCCCTGCAAATAGGTACAGGCAGACGAAGAGAGGTTGTTGCGATTTTTAGATAGTAGCTTATTTATTTCCTAATTAATAGACACCTAAGCGACAAGTACACTGTATAAGACATCTCATGGTATTTCTTGCCAATACCGAAATACCGTCGTATTGGCAAGAGAATCACTCCCACAGATCTATACTAGTCGGATAAGGCCTTCAGGATTTAAATATCGAGGGAGAATAGTTTTAGTAGAAAATTTCGCAGAAAACAAAACAATGAAAGTCTATAAAATAGACCGAAATTTTTTACTCTTGCTTAATTTTTCTTTCATTTTTTTTCTTTTTTTCCGTTCCTTTTTTCACTATCAATGAACTGACCTTGCCTGTCCAGGAGGGAGCATGTTTGTGCTCCTTTTTTAAAATGCAGGGATTTTGTTCAAATCTGTCCCAAACAAAATCTTTTGATGAGACAATCCTCCAATGAAAGTTATAGCTTGAGCTAGTTTAAAGCTCATTTTGACAAAATAGCATTGCAAAATTTGCATTTTTTACCAATAAAAAAGTGTAATATTTTGAATTTGTTTGGTTGTAAAAGCAACTTTAGTCGATCTTTTCCTTTCTGGGTCACAGACTCATCAGTTGATATTTAATTGTTCCTCGGGGATTAAGACAGGTTGTTGACACAACGATCTAGCTATGAGTTGTGATAAAGCGTTGCATATTATATGATTTCCAAATCCTAAGGGGGCTGCGACAATTCGGAACCATACTAAAATCTGATTTCTAAGGCCCATTATGTATTCGACTTCTCCGTCTCAAACACAATTCGACCTAAAATAACTGAGAAAAAAAGCCTGTGGGACAGATGCCTATGACACCTTTAATGACGTTATAACACGCATGTCTTCAACAGTCTTGATTCTTGAGTAACAACAACTAACAGAATTATGCCCCATAAAGAAAATAAAGAAAAAGATCCATTAAAGTTGTTTTTTTAACCAAACAACTTTAAATATCAGCATTTTTAAATGGACCCATATTTTCATTTGATTATTTAAACGGCGCTTTGGTAGAACTATGGCGCGGCGGAGCTATTCACGGTAATATCTCAGTCAACATTGGCGACGCATTCACTGATGTGATAATAACGCCTTCCGTGATACAACTATTCGTACCCTATGGACGCGCGTGTTGCATACGCAAAAATTGAAGGAGCTCCGGTCGCTCTGATCCATGAAGTAGGGCACGCTGCAGTGTGTGGAGCGCCTCGCGCCGCGCCGGTACGAATATAAAGCAAGATGAAATTATCGAATGAAAATTAAGGAGAAACAGGAAAGGATATTTTCGCACCACTTTCAGATACAAGGATATAATACGTATCTCACCGCCACAGTTGCGATAGCAGAGCATCGCTGCGTGCCCTGCTTCATAGGCTAGAGTAATCAGAGCGCCTTCAATTTTTAGGATGCAACACGGATGTCCATAGAGCTGGAGTAGTTGCATCAAGGTATTATTATTGATATCACTGTTCTCTGCTCGGATATCAATCCTGAAGTGTTGAGTAAAAACGTCGTATGGATACCCGACCGTAGCCTCTCCTCCGATTAAATACAAATTTCTGGGAAAACCTGTAAGCTCTTTTTTTTAAAGTTTTACAGCGCAATTTAATATAATGATTCTGAGAATTTCAAGGAAATCAAATCCCAACTTTCTTCAAAAATCATGTTTCATCGGGAAAAATTTGGCAAAGTATGGACCCTCCTTCGACGTTTTTCAGCGAACTTGATTTGGCACAGTCCAGCCCTGCCGTGCTAAGGGAAAATGTCGTATGAACATTCAAATGTTGCAAAATTTTCCCTGATAAAATAATATATTTTTCAGGAAAGTTATGCATATTTTTCCTTGAAATTTTCAAATATTTTAGATTTCATTGCCGACAAAACCGGAGGAATCATATTTCCAACTTTCCCAATGAATTCATATTTTATCAAAGGAAATGTGGCAACGCCTGAAGGTTCATACGGTGTTTTTCCTCAGCACGGAAGAGCCAAGAAGGGTGTTCTGGGATATCTTGGATAAACTTTGCAACACTGTTTCGTGACCAATAAACATGGCTTTTTTTTTTTTTTTTGAAGATCGCAGGAACTTTAGACTAGAAATTCACCAAACCATAAACGAACAAGATTCAGTGGCAATGGGAAAGGGGGATAGTAGAAAAATGGCAGAACTCACAAATTAAAAGAATAAGAGACGGGTGGAAATGGTGATGCCTTCCAGCGGCATCATCGAGCAGCACAGTGAACCATTGCTGAGGGTCGACCCGGATCCCGTACCTGATTGAAGGGACAGACAAATCCATTTAATGAGTTGGCAAGACACTTTCATTCAAATTATTTTTTAGGGGAGCCCACATAAAATTACATCCATGAGGGTCAATTTTTAGAAAATGCACGTTCTGGTAGGTACTACTCCAAGAGAAAAATGTTAGCTAAAAACGACTCTCAAAATTTCATTAAACTTTTTACAAATGTATTATTTGTCAATTTTAACCTTAAAAATTGTCAATTTTTAGAGCGAAATACTGAAAGCGATGACCAAAGAGCGAATCCTCATTCCTTCATCGCGGTATTCTAAAATTACCACCCCTATATTTTCTTTTTTATGAGGAGAAGCTATAGCCAACTCCATAGCTTGAAATGTATACAGAATATTCTGCTATTAGAAGAGAAAAATTGGGAACTTTCAATTGGAAATTATCTTGACTACTTTTTCAAAGAAAAAATAAATGATGACAAAAATCCTACATCGTAGCTAACGGAGATATGTGGCTTTGCATTTTGGCTATCGGAGATAACCAGAAAATTAAGCTTGTAGGTGTAATAACAGAATATTATTTTTCAAATATCCTTCTTAAACATCATCATAACTTAAGTCAGCGCCCAGAAATACTTAAAGCGATTAGCAGAGATAAAATGAGCAGAGACTTTAATACCTATGTGAGATGCCAAAAAATATAGGTGTGCTATTATCCTTATCATGTTAGCTGTGGCGAACCTAGGGCAATATTTTTTCCTGCGTGTTTAGTATTTCCTCATTTGTTCAGTGACTGGACACTGATCTGCTCAAAGAATTTGTTTTCTTTTTAAAATTCAAGTCCAGGACGGACACTTACTTGATGAGATTTTCCAGAAATAGGCGTACACTTCCCATGAACAAAAGTAGAAATGCCCAATTTATCAGCCCAGAGAAGTTTCTGAAGCCGGAAGCCCAGGAAAAAAGTGAGTCCCTTGGTTTGTGACATCTGGAAAAATTCAGAGAAAAATTCATTGGTTCATAGTTTGGCAACATAGAAAAAGTATTTTCGTGAAGCTTCGACGCTAAGAGTTAGGCTGATCACAGCATCAGTCTGAAAATGATGTATCGTCATTTTGTGATTTCTTGGATGAAACAAGTTCGGCTTTATGTACGGTGTGAGCAAACCAGGATTCCTTCATAACAAAATGGTCATATTAAAATCCAATGCTTCAAGCGGTGATTTGTGAAGATGCCTGATGCATCCTCATACTTAGAGACAACTGCCAATGCACGCACAAGCTCAGGCTCGCGGTTTGCCTACCTTAAAACTGAAGGCGAATACACTCACGAAAATGCACGCAGTGTTCGCTGATTGTGAGCTCGATACGAGTTCTGCTCAATGCTCACTTCTCGACAGTAGGACACCCCTCTCCACTCCCTCCTCTCCTACCCCTCACATCCCCGCCTCCCCCTTCCCTTCCCTCCCCCTCCTCTTCGCTTCGAGAGGTATTGAACCTCTAAATGTGGCCAAAATTAATGTTTCTTGCAACAAAAATTGATTTTTGATGGTACCTCTAGATTCAGCGTTGAAAATTATTGAGAGAATGTATCCTGCGTTTTTTCGCCATCGATTTCGAGATAATAGAGACTAACGGGGAATAATAGGGGAATAATGGGGGCCCCAGGGAAAGCGATTTTGGAAAACAATTTATAGTGTAAAAACGTCTTTTTTTGACCCAAAGAATCGACTCCTTCAATATTCGTACTTAATCTTGGGACACCCTGTGCTCCTTGAAATTCCTCCTCTCGAATCATTTTTCGAGATAAGTCTTCAAACAGCATCAATGTAATGAACCGCGTTAAAAAAAAAAAAAAAAAAAAAAAAAAAAAAAAAAAAAAAAAAAAAAAAAAATGGCATCGGTATCAAGCACTTATCTAGCGGAGTATTTTAGAGAATACAGCGTTAAAAGTGTAACAAGCGCAGCAGAAGCGATGACAAATCAAAACAGCGGTGATCTTGAACTTTCGGCGGAAAGGACAGCCGCGCAGCTATCTCGGCTGTGTTGTCGCCTTCTCAACAGACCTCTCTATAATTATCAATCAATAACTAGACCGCGAAACTTCATACCTCGAATAATTTCGAAAATTCCTCTCATCATTTATTTTTTCGAAGGGAAACAGAGATAACTTTTTTGTCTAAAATCTTCACACACAAAATTCCAAGGAGTGTCGATGTCGAAAATTAGTCGCATTCCAAGACGATGACCTAGGTGTATCGTGTTCGAGTCTAGGGCACAGAAACCTCTAGACAGCAGGCAGTCCTTTACAGGATTGACTGTTCCATAGTTCAGGTTATTACCAGACTTAGATTATTTTCGATTTTTGTAAGTCTACAATTTTCTATCCTACCCACAGATGAGAGGTAACACAGGGAAGTCTCCAGATTAAGGCGTACTTTGCCGGATTCCGTGACAATTTATTTTTACTAAATTCGCCCAGGACTATCGGGGAATATTCTTGCCCTCCAATCAAGATGCTTAGAAAAAGTTTAAATTGAAGAAGTAACCACTGGTAGGCAAATACAACAGAGTCTCGAATATACGCGATTCGGAATATACGCGATTCGGAATATCCGCGATTTATTTTTACCAAATTCGCCCAGGACTATCGGGGGATATTCTTGCCCTGCAATCAAGATGCTTCGAAAAATTTAAAATTGAAGAAGTATCTACTGGTAGGCATATACAACAGAGTCTCGAATATACGCGCGATTCGGAATATCCGCGATTTATTTTTACCAAATTCGCCCAGGACTATCGGGGGATATTCTTGCCTTCCAATCAAGATGCTGAGAAAACTTTAACATTGAAGAAGTATCCATCTGTAGGCAAACACAATAGAGTCTCGAATATACGCGATTCGGAATATCCGCGATTTTTTTCGGTAGTCCCCCGGCGGATCGATACTGATTCTAAAACACATGGAAAAAATCGCAGCCCGAAAAAATTGCAATTCTATGGTGCAAACCTCTTTAAAACATATCTTCCGAAAATCATGTTTGCTCAAAACACTCCTCTCGCTCGAGGTAGTGTATTCATCGTTAACTATAGTTACATTTCTATCTAATATTGGACAATTTTTATAAAAGAGCCTTTTAAAATACAGCTTTTGAGATCACTTTCCTTTACTAAGTAGAAATTGGACTTCATTTTTTAATTAGGGGCCACAGTACCTAACTCATATTTAAAAACACTTACCTACATATAGAAATTAATGACACATATGTTGTTTCTAAAGTGAGCTGGAAATAGTAATTCCCAATGGCAAAATGTAGACCAATTAGTTTCAGATTATTCGCGGATTTCGAGTATCCGCGGTAGCCCCAGTCCTTAGGGTCGCGGATATTCAAGACTCAGCCAAAAATGTCAATAAAATCAAAATCAATAGAACATAATAAGAAATACGAATTTCACTAAACCAAAATAAATATATCTATTACCATACCATTTTAACCATCTACCAAAAATTAGTATACCAAAGTAATGTAAATAAAAGGAAAGTGATAATAAAGAGAACAAAATATTAAGCTAGTTAAAAATTTAAAATTGAAACACCAATATTGTTATAATAAATATATATATTATTCATTAGATTGTAATTATATTAAAAACAACAACAAAATCAATTTTAAATTAGTCCATTACAATAGTGTTATTTAACTTAATTTTTACAAAAATAAGAAAGATTAGATTTCTTTTATGGGGAGATAAAAAAAATGTTTAAAAAAAAGTAGCACCGTGACTATTGTTTCAAAGATCAGACTTCTTGTCTTCCATAAAAGATGTCCTCTGACTGATGAACGCCAACAAAGGCGTCTTATGCAACTCGAAACGCGGACCCTAGGCAGGCAGGCGGGTAGCAGTGGCGTGGCGTGAATTGCGATGTATCGATTGTTATGCCATTTAAACCTATGGTAAAGAATCGATTATTACGGTGTTTGCTGCAAACAACCTGGGTATCGATTTTTTTCCATAGGTTTAAACGGCATATCAATCGATATATCGCAAAGCACGCCACGCCACTGGCGGGTAGAGCGGGGCGGACTCAACATTGTATGCCGTGCAAAGGAAAAACACCGTATGGACAGTCGAGCGTTGCCAAACTTACCCCGATAAAATATTCATTTTCGAGAACGATCATTTGTTGAATGATTATTTATTTACTTTTTTCAAATTCAGATGATGTTTTACAGATTGAATTGCGACAGCAATTCTTCAGAAAATTGGATGAAAACATTGTAACGTCGCTCTGAAAATTCGCATTTTACAAGAGGGATATGGCAACGCCTACAGGCTCATACGGTATTTTTCCTCAGCGCGGCAGCCGCGGTCCGTACACGTACAGTGGATCGAGTCAATCAGAGGGGTCGGACATGAAATTTTTGACTAAAACTGCAAATTTTGAGGCTTATTTCGTCGTATTTTAAATTTCAAGGGGTGCTTCTAAAAGACAATTTGATGAAGAAACCGGTGGAACTACTTTCCGAACCTCATAGTTTTGTATAAACGGAATTATAAGCGTTTAAAGTTTCCAAATTTTGTCCGACCTCTCCTATTGACTCGATCCACTGTGCGTCGAGGGAACAGGTTGTCTGGCTCCGGATGGTCAATCGAAGTTTAGAGCGAGCACGGAAGTTGAGCGAAAAAAGTGCGCGCCTATTAACTTCGATGTGTATGCGTCTATTTCTGAAGGTCACGTGGGTGAGTCAGGCAGCAAGCCGGCTACAAGAGCCACGCTCCAAACTCGGACGAATGAGATTTACGTTTTCTCAAGTCCGCACGGTCAGTTCCGAGTGTTTTAAGGCAAAAACACGAGCACTTGATACATTTTTGGCGTGATTTTCTTAGTCCACCCCGAACTTTTGAATCGCAGAAGTTCTAATACGCGTAGGTAATGGCCGCTTTCATCACTTTCATATGAACTTTTTGCCTCGCGACAAAATTGGAGCTTTAAACGTTCGAATTTTAAATTTTCGGAAAACTTATCATTGGCAGAACTAGGAATTTTAACGGGGAGGCAGAAGGACACGTCATCAAGGGGAAGTTCAGAGGGCCGATTATTGAAATTCATAGACAAAGAAGACAAAAGAGATATGGAAGGATCCTATTAATGGGAGCGGGTGGTTGCAATGGACAAAGAAGGTATAGGTAGGCAATAGATTTAGTAACGGCAAGCCAAGAAGGACCCGATAGTTAGTCCATCATCTTCTCCCTTAGTCTTGAGGAACCACTCATTTCAACCAATAGGCAAGCTCTATACTCCCTATGTCTTCTTTGTCTATCGCTTTGTCTATCAATTTCAATAATCGGCCCGCAGAGGGCATAGATTGTCACCCCATTACAGAACACGATAGACTGCCAATCACGTCGGCACAGAGAGACATCCCGTCACGGAAGGCACAGAAAGAAACCCCTTAAAGGTGCAGATTGAAAGACACTCTATCGAGGGAGGGAAAAATGGAGGGAGGGGGATGGTTCATCATGTGGACGTATTTATGCTAAATGGAACTATGTTGCATGCAAACCCTGGTAAAAATTGGCGATAAGAGCTGCGTTTCAAAATACCATAGGAATTCTTATAGCCGGCTAAAGAAGGCTACAGAAAATCATATAGCTGGCTGCAGAATGCGGAGAAAATCATACGGCCGGGCTATACGAAGCGATAAAAAATTATGCAGCCCGGCTATAGTTCCTATCACCGGGCTTTACACTTTATCGCCTGGCTGTTGCTTTTTCGCCATCGATTATAAAAGGCTATGAGAAATCTGTGCAGAAATTCGTGTGCTTTGGAAATCATTAAGTTTGATACGGAACCACCTTAATATTTACAAAACACACATTATATTTTCTTTTAATACATATTTTTTTTCATCAATTAAAATGAGAATAATCCATACAGGATGTGCAAACATTTCAAAATCATGAGTTGAATAACGCTGACTCCGCCAGATTAAATATTAGAGCCTAACACAAAGCGGAGCGGCGACGCACTGGCGCCTACAAACCTAACAGGGATACTTCACGCATTGAGCAACGCGTGAAGTATCCCTGTTAGGTTTGTAGGGGTCAATGCGTGTTTCGCGCTGGCTGCCCGCCTGCCACGGCGCTTGATGCAACTATTTCACACCAGAGGTATTGCACAGTATCATACAAAACTGAAGGCACTCTAATATATTAGTAATGGCAGGCATCCATCAAAAGTACGGAGCTTTCCTCGCAAAATAAATCAAGATACTACGGCCCAAAAAGAGAGCAGTATTCCAAAAACTCACCAAGTCCTAGCATCCGTAATTAGTAACGTTTAGAATACACTTTATCGCCTGGCTGTTGCTTAGTCGCCATCGGCTATAAAAGGCTATAAGAAATTGTGCAGCTGCATGGGTATAGAAGCTATTGGAAATCTTACCTACAGCCGGCTGTAGGTCTATGGTATTTTGGAACACAGATTTTACTGCCAATTTTTACCAGGGAAACAAATGCATATAGTTCCTTTTAGCATAAATACGTCCATATCAAAGAGGGCACAGCCAGATATATATCATCTAGTCAGGCACAGAAAGGCACCACACCAGAAGGGGGGGGGATAGAAAGCTACCCCATCGACTTCATTCGGAAATTATTACTTCGCGCATTGGTTACACAGCTGGGACAAAAGAAAAACCAAAATGCTGATCCAAATTAAAACGAGTAATCTAAAAAACTAACCAAAAATACGATACTCAGCAGAGCTGAGCAGGACCAATTTTAAGAGAGGGGGGGAAGCTGAGGGGGCCGAGACCCCGGGTGGCAGCTTTCAGGGGCAGCGAAGTATGAAAAAGAAGCAAAGGATTTAAAAAAAAAGGTGACCCTTTTTTTTTTTTTTTTTTTTTTTTTTTTTCTATTTTTCATCTCTTAATTTAAAAGCAAAGACTGAAAGGTCATTTCATGTTCAAATCCAGGAACAGCAAACGGTTTGATAATTCTAGGCGGGATGGTTCTAGGCGGGAGTTGCAAAAAAATTGAAACACTACAATTGACAATATGGCATGTGCATTTTTCAACATTTAGATACTGCGACAATTTAGTCATGCCGGTTTATTTTCACGCACACCTCTGTTCACCTTTCCACCTGTGTAATCAACTGCCAATAATCAGAAATTGCGCGTGCTAATTTGAGACGACGCGACGGGCGCGCATATCCTCGACGTCATTTTAATCAATATTTTATCATTCCTCTGACGTCTTTCCAAAGTGGACTTAAAACGGTGCGTTCCCCTTTATCATCCCGTGTTTTTAAAGGTAATTTATTTATAGGTAGTTTATCACCTCCAGTCATACATTTGTTTATTTCAACTAAAAATGCCTAAACCGGTCGTTTCTCTGAAGAAGCTTCTTGATTATTCTTGAACAGTTTTCTCCCTCCAATTTCCGCTTTGAACGTGTTTTTTACCTGTCACCACGAAGGAACCCTGGAACTTGTGGATTTACAAAGGCCATCTCAAATATTAAGTTTTCCCTGCTTCTTTTTACCAGAAACTAAATATTACATAAAGTTTAAAAACTATGAGAAGACCCCCTACTTAGCATAGATGCACACGTATTCACATTAAAAAAACAGGTGTTTTATGTCAAATTAGTGGAAAGAAGGCCGCAGAGATTCTACCATCCTCGTGTTTAGGTACATTGAAAATAAGGAAATGCAAGTTGTCAAATTTGGGGATTTTTTATTTTTAGCCAGGGGCTGCGCCCCCTACCTGCATTGCGGCTCATCTCCCCAGAGGCGGTTTGCGCCTCTTGATCGTGGACTGTTTGTAAAATCATAAAACTTGGTTTGTGCTTAACATCATTAGCATGACACCCTTAGAGTGACACGCTACCTTCATTATTATATGTCATAGAGCACTCTAACAAAACCAGAGTATACAGAATCATAAATATATGATTTTGTGCACTTATACTCAGGTTTCGTCCCCTCCTCAGCCGAATTTCGTCTCTTCCAAATAATGTATCAAGCTGAAATAATGCCTTTTTTTTTGCTTATTCAGCCCACTTAATTTTCAGCTTTCAACATTGAATGGTTATCAAAAAATAAAGTAAAATGGAGTGACGAGAAGACAGAGAGGGGGCGGGGACTCGATATCTGGAGAGCCTCGTGGAAGGTATCTCCGAAAACCGAGGAAACAAGGTCACTGGCGATCCTTCCTAATTCTGAGGGGGTGTTTTCTTTCAAGCTTCAGCTTTCGAGAGGACTCCACTTAAGCATCCATACATCTACATATATTAACTGAGAGGCTTGGAGGACAAGGCGCATAAGTGCAGTTTCTGCTATTTTGAGAGATGCGTGTGTGTTTGAAGTTTCGAAATTACATGGCTCCCTATGACGGATAGACAGTTCAAACTGACATCTTAATTCTTAAAAATTAGAAATTGGAAGCGATTTTTTCTCAGAATATGCATTAAGACTAGTTTTACTTGAATTCATTCTTAGGTACTTATGTCAATTTTTTCAAAAACTGCACTGATACGCCTCGTCCTCCAAGCCCTTCAACTACCCATGTTAACATCATTTCTCACGGAAAAAAGTTTCCCGGTAGAACGATAGAGATTCCGCTGATAATTAACGCGACCTGAAATCACCTTGGGGCAATCGAGAATCGTCCTTTTTTCGACCGAAATTTCACTACTTTGATTTTCTCATGTTCCTAGGAAAAGTCCGCTCGCAGAAACACAATTACACAACAATTACAACAATTACACATAGTTTGAATGGTCTCAGGGTAGGAATTATACTTTTAGCGTCCCCATGCTGAACTTTGTTTAGCACCCCTAAAATGGGTGCTATCGGGAGGAAGGATGTCTGATACACGAACCCCCACCCGACCTGAAGGAAGATGCTAGGTAATAGGAAAATAGTTCAAATTCACCTTTAAAAAGCATGATACATGACAGTTTACAGTTGCCCAACTGCAAACAGTTTGACGCCAGAATAAAACTGGTTTTGGAGAGATGCGACAAAAGACGCGTAGGTACTTAAGTTTTAGGATGCTCGAAAATTTTGTACCCCTCAGGATGTTGCGCTCCTGGACTATAGCCTATGTAGCCCGAAGGTACCCGGCCCTAAATGATCTGAGACAGTTTTCGCGCAGCCTTTTAAGACCCGGCTTTGTCATATTTGCCACGAGTTTAACCCGCGGTTTTTCACAGGCACCCCGAGTGCCTATCAAAGTTTAACCGGAGGTTAAGCCACTCGGTTCCAAAATGTCTCACCAAATTCGAAAATGTCAATAGTACCATAAAATGTATCTTACAAGCCCCGAAGCCCCCCAAAATAGTGTTCTTAATTCAACTTAGAAAAGAGGTTCACTTTGGCCAGAGGTGGTAGAGCCGGCCCTGGCAGAGCCCCAAAGCATTACGTAACGAAAAATGTAACATGTTGAAATCACACCCTCTGCAACCCCAATAGTCTTCTCCTGGGGCGGCGTAGGTAATGAAGCATGTTCCAGGGTTAGTGATGAGCTTTTGCGTAACGACGCGAACTTACGGTTTATCCGGCTGCGAGTGACGAACTTTCGCTTCGATCTGTTGGATTTCCTCCGCCTGGGTGACACTCTTGGCCCTCCGCCTTATGAAATTCTCCTCTTCAGGTCGCGGTGGCATCCTTCCGAAGTTATCACCAAACTTTCCCGAGAGACTAACGCGACGGACTATCCGTTCCGATTTCAGCGAGCACCCATAACTTTTTCGACTTTTTAGTTCCCGATTCTGAGGCCCGAAAATGGGCGCTGAGACGAGCTTGGGCGTCCGCGAGTGATGGTCACTTTGAACTAGATTTTGTCGCGCCTCTGACCTTCCGCATCTGTAGTAACGGCACGGGGAAGATAACGACACCTATCCCGCGGTTATCTCCGTTTTCCCCTGTCCTTTCCATCTCTCTCTGACGCGTCTTATCTAGACCCGTGTGCTTTTCCCTCTCTGCTCGTCCCTCGCGCGGTGTCGCACAGTGGATCGAGTCAATAGGAGAGGTCGGACGAAATTCGGAAACTTAAGGAGCTTATAACTCCGCTTATGAAAATTTTTGAGGTTCTAAGAGTGATTCAATTGGTTTCCTCGTGAAATTTTCTTCCAAAAATACCCCGTAAAATTTAAGATGTGACGAAATCAACATCAAAATTTGCAGTTCCACACTGAAAAAAAATTCTCGGCGTTTTTACCAAGGTTCGTTGGTACCTTTACCATCTCACTTTTTTTTACCAATTATTGGTAATTTTACCAAGACAGGCTGATAAGCTTACCTATAAACCGGTATTTTTACTGTTTTTTTCAGGTAAGAATACCAGTTTTATTGGTAATCAATTCCCGGTAACTTTGCCATTTTATCTCGGTAATTCTACCACAGTTGATAAAAAATATTGGCGTTTTTACCAAGATCCAGTAAAATTACCGAGAAAATTCAATAATTTTACCGAGATTCTCGGTAAAACTACCAATTCCATAAATGGTAATTTTACCAAGAAAAAACTGGGATCAAATAGAACCCTGAATTGTTGGTAATTTTATCTTTTTCTTAGTAAATACACCGAGATTTTTTTTTTCAGTGAGAGGTCGGACGAAATTTGGAAACTTAAAGAGCTTATAACTCCGCTTATACAAATTTTTAAGGTTCTAAAAGTGATTCCATTGGTTTCCTCGTGAAATTTATTTCTAGAAACACCCCCGTAAAATTTAAGATGTGACGATATCAACATCAAAATTTGCAGTTTCAGTCAAACATTTTATGTCCGATCTCTCTGATTGCCTCGATCCACTGTGTGTCGACTGACGATTAAAGTTCATCGGAAACTCCATGCTGGAGTAGGATTGTTTACGGTCGTGTGAGCACGGGAGACCCCCGATCTCTCCTTCCAGCTGTTGGGTCTAGAACGGTAAAAACGATGAGGATGACATTACCTCTCTGCCGTGCTAAGGAAGAACGCCGTATGAACCTTCAGGCGTTGCCAAATTTCCTTCGATAAAACACGAATTTCCTGGTACACTTATGAATATTTTTCCTCCAATTTTTCAGATAGGTAATTTTGTTCGCAATTTTACCTACAGTTCCTGAAAATTTCAAGGAAAAGTATTCATAACTTTCCTAAAAAATAAGCATTTTAATGAAGGAAATTTGGCAACTCTCGAATGTTCATACGGCGTTCTTCCTTAGTACGGCAGCTCTGGCCTCTGGCAATGAGGCAAAATTCTTAAATTGGATCCTCAACTCGAGGAAGCTATGGTCGATCAATCAATGAGGTTCTTGCATATGTGGAGGATTTGCGATGTAGTTACTTTGGCTGGAATAGTTACTTTAATTAGCTTAAAATTTCGCGAGAAACACGCGATGGTGCCACTGGTTTTCTCGTAAACGAACTCCAAAGCTAAAAAAACAGCTCTTAAAGTTGAGGCTTCAATGGAGGGGGTATCGCGCTAAGTTAAGAGTCCATGTGCATATCAAGTCAAACTGTCCATGCTAAGATAGGGGTCAAAGATATTAGCAGGGCTACCACTTTGTTTGAGGACTCCAAAACTGAAAACATGGCAACCCTGTTAATGTATTTGCTCAATCAATATGCTCCGTATCTTTGCACGGGCAGTTTGATTTGACGTAGCCGGGAACTCTCAGTATAGCGTGGGATATCCCCTTAGTTACGGCCTCAACTTTGCGAGCTTTTATGAGCTTTGGAGTTCGTTTCAGAGAAAACCAGTGGCAGAATCGTGTTTCTCGCAAAATTTTACGTAAGAGATTTACGTACCTAAATCGCATATCCCCCACACATGCAAGAAATCTATTCGTGGATAGTTTCCGTGACGAATGAGCGTAACTCCATTCCAAGGTTGCAAAATTGGCTCGAACAATTTTCAATTTTTCATGAGAATGCACCTGTGTAATCTCCGTCCAAAATGTGTCTGCTTTTTGCACGAGGTATGAAGCAAAATCGGTGAAATGTTCAGTTAGAAATGTCCAAGCTTCCCCCGGTAAAAATTCAAAACGCATGCGAGAGAAAATTTGGCAACATTGAAATGTATGTTACGTTCTTTTGTGATGGAAACGACGAGGTGATGATTTCTGGATCTTAGGACATTTTTTCAAAAATCAAGCCCTAGTCTGTCGCTTCCCTCTCGAAAAGAAGTAACTACATTTCGCTGTTGCCCAACTTCCTCGCGCAATTTCACCAAGGGGGCCTTGGGAATTTTCCGCTAAAACTTTCACTGAGTTTTAAAACTCGTCGAACGTCACATAACAACGAGGTACGTCAATTATTCGCACAAAGGGTTTTATTTCGAAACACTCAATATACAGTCATTCCGAAAGCTCGCCGCGAGTAAGGATTGCAATCTGTTTTTGTCTACCAATTTCAAATACATAATGGGCCTGTTGCATGCAAGAGATACAGCCGTGCGAATAGACTTTTTAAAGGTTAAATGACACGAAAATTACGATGGTCACATTAAAAAAGTCTGAAATACACTCCTTACTGCGCAATTTGCGTCGTTAGGAACGCGCTTTTTCAAATTTCCCGCGTCTGGGGGCAGTTTTCTAACGAAAACAATTAACGGCAACTCGCGGCTATTTCCGGTCAACTAAAACTGACAACATAACCTAAAAATCGGAGCTCGTGGTATCGTGAAATGAAATGTAGAAGGATTGCGTTGGATATTTAAAAGTTGATCGATTTGGTTACCGCATAAAGCGTATATGGACCACTATAAGAGATCACGTTGGGTTTGTAAACAAACTGAAGGAAAAAATAACAACAACAACAACGACTCGGCATCTTCCGGAAATCACCGAGCCCGCCGTTTGCTCGTTTCCGGTGATTAGAAAACTGCCCCCAGACGCGGGAAATTTGAAAAAGCGCGTTCCCAACGACGCAAATTGCGCAGTAAGGAGTGTATTTCAGACTTTTTTAATGTGACCATCGTAATTTTCGTGTCATTTAACCTCTAAAACGTCTATTCGCGCGGCTGTATCTCTTGCATGCAACAGGCCCATTCAATTTTCACTCGAGACGTAGGCTGAGGTACCAAAGGCATTTTAAAATCTTTTGCGGTCAAATAATACAGAAAAATACCTAACGGGCTGCATCGTAATGTGAAATTCAGGGATTTTTTTTTATTATTTTTTAGAAAATTTCCTAAAATCCAAATAATAGACTATCCAATCGTTTCCGTTTTATTGAAGGTCCGCCTCAAATTCTTTCATAAATTGTGACCGCTCACGGTAAAAAGGGCCTCCGCGCGCGTGAAGGTGAAATTTTTAGTGGGACTACTTTCGTTTTCTGGTTCTAAGAATCAGATTTTGGGATTTCCGCGGGAGACGATACTATCTTGCTCCAGAAGAGTAAACTGTAACAGATTTAGTTCATTCATTCGCTCTTCAGATGTGAGGGCATAACTGTATTTTAAGTTGAACCCTGTTGTCCATAGGAACCAGTGCTCCTCAGGGCTCACGTGAAAGACGTAAGTGCTTACTTACGAGTGCGACGATTTTTGAACTTACGAAGAATGAGGGATCTAAATTGAGTTGAGCAAGGCGCCTTCATGCAACTATTCGTGTTCCACGGATGTGCGTGTTGCATATTCAAAAATTGAAGGCACTTCTACTTTTCTCATTTCTTCAGAGATGCGCTGGACGAGACTTGTCATGTTGCAGCACTCGAATGACGGAGTGCCCAGGAAGAGTATTACAAGATAGTGACACGTTGCATAATGCTCGTGCTCTAAACATAATAGATTAACTTTGAATGATTTTTTTTTCGAAATCATGATTTATGATCTGCAATTAATCCCGCGATTCATTTCGTAATAAATTATGATTTGGTTTTAAGAATGGTTTGGTTTTTGGTTTTTTAAATTTGAAAAAGCATAATACTGAAGTTATTAAGATAATTAAGAAATTTTAAAACAATTAATTTAGTTTAAAATAAAACACTATCTTTTCAGCATAGAGATAAATAATTTAATAATTTTGATAAATAAAGCCTTATAAAATATAGCAATTTAACAGTTTACTAAAGTTTTAGACTAAATAAAACGCGACTAATTAGACGCGAGTTTTAGACTGATGTACGCGTTTGCTATCCCAAAATATGTGTAGAACACTCCATATGCGTTGGTGCCTAGAAATCACTGAATCTGGACTTTTTGAATAACATAGTTTCTTTTTTCCATGAAAGGTCACAGTCGTGAACGGAAGTATAGAGTACCTTTTGTAGAAAGAGTATAGCAGCTGAGGGATCCAGATTGAGTTGAGTGGGGAGCCTTCATGGAACTGTACGTGTTCTACAGATGTATAGGTATGCGTGGTCAAAAACTGAGGGCAGTCTCGCTTTCCAAATATTTCTCTAGAAATGCACGGGAGTTGTCGTTAGTCGTTGCACCCTAATAAAAATAGTATGTAGGTAGGGAAATCATTGCCGCCTCAATACTTGTACTAAAAAAAAGTGCCGCTTTTAGACTGGTCGCTACATTTCAAGCTTTCATAGACGTCCTCGTTTACAATTTTCAGAATATGAGTAGATTGAAAAAGCGGGAGCGCCTTCAATTTTTGAATATGCAACTTGCACATCCGTGGAGCACAAAAAGGTGCGTCGAACCACCACAGCAACTCGATCTTGTCCTCGTAAAGCGGGAGCGTCTTTGAATTGCAACGCGCATCTCCCAGATACATTGGAGCAAGAAAAGATACAGCACTAAAACTTATACATTTTATTAAAAATTCCGGGGAAAAGTAAATAATAAATTTATCTTTAATTAACTGTAAATTTTTTTGTAAATTTTATTTTTTGTCAAAAATCACCCAAACCACGCGTTAGAGATCGGTCAGGGGGAAAGATATCAAGTATAATATAATAATTTACATTATCTTTCAGGAGTTAAAATAGAAAAATGTGTAAAAAACAGATGTATCGTGGCCAGTTTGCAAGTTAGTAAGGAGTTTATACTCTGAACATGTAATGCGATGATGCGATGCGTGCGTTTAGAAAAAGAGCGATGATTTAAACTTTCCCGCCAGTATTTGAAAACACTTTTACAGCGGACTCTAGCGGACAGGTTAGCAAAGTGCGGACTGGACTGCATGGCAATATTTTGAGGTTATATTTTCATGTTATCAATCAAAGTGATAAGTGATAGTGGACAGTGATAGGATCCAAGGATGATGATGCGAATCGGCTCAAGGCAGACTGCTTCTGCCCCTCAATTATCTAGTATTTCTCTTTCGTTACACCTGTAGTGACTGTGTGTTTCATGATTTTTCTCTTGTTTATGTTCTGCTATAATTATTGTTTTCACGGTGCTTTCCGTGGCCCCTTTTTCATGAAATTCGATGCTTATGTTTTCCTCTCTTTATACTATATTTTTCTTCGCGTATGTGCCACAAAATGTGTTCAGAAAGCTTCACAAAAGCTTTATAAATGATTTTACGAAAGGAACTAAATTGACTGCCACAGTGAATTAGTGTATAATAAATATGAATAATGGTACGGAACAAAATGTCAAACAGCTGCGTCGGACAAAGAGCGTCGCATGTGCAGAAGAGATTCAAAAACAGGAGACGCAATTAAGAAGTGCTCAACCAGATAAACCGTGAGTATATCTAGAAATTTACTCCAAACTCCTGACTTGCATCGGTCGGAATATATTCTTCTCACTTGTTCCAGGCTTTAAGTCCTGTGATTTTACAAAGTAGGAATTGATACTTTCCTCCTTTACCTACTCACCTGTGATTTTGACCTGTAGGAGAAAGTGATATATTCCAATGAATCAGTTGAAGAATCAGCTAAACAGAATTCTGCAGAGTAAGGTTTGTGTTTACAGGGATGTTGCTCCTGAATAATGTAATAATTAATACTATCCTTCGGATTTGAATCTGGTTGAAATATGTACTTTCATTGGAAATTCCTCCTGCTCATTAAATTTCTGAAGAAATTCCACAGTTTGATCATTTTTCCTTTAACAATGCTTGCATATTGAATTGTATACATCCCCCACTCCCACCTAAAAATTAAAATTTTAGGAAACCAAAAAAAATTCAAAATCAAACCCAGAAACAATCTGAGAATCACATCCCTGAATTGAAAAATTTTAGCTTCGTAAAGTGCCTTACAAATCACTTTTCTTGAGCAAGCCAAATGCATGGTATGAAAATGGTCATCTTTCATTCAATATTTTTTTAAAATTCTCTTATGAATCAGACTGAAAAATTTAATTATGGACCAGGCAGCAAGTTAAATTAACAGCAAAGTTCTGTCAATCCATTTATTAGCAATATAAGAACATATCAATCAAAATACTACTAATCATATCGTACCTTAGTAGTACCTATGATGATGCAACATTTTAACTTCTTGATTCATCAGGATTCATTAGGTAATTTGATATCATCATAATTGACGATGACCAAGTATACTTAGGTCACTGATACTATAAATAATTGAACCCTCCAATTGAATTTTTCAGATGTCACAAACCAAGAGACTCTCTATTTTCCTGGTCATCAGGGTTTGGAAACTTCACAGGATTTGTGAACTGGGCATTCCTACTCTTGTTCATGGGTGGAACAAGACTTTTTTTGGAGAACTTAATAAAGTGAGTGTTTTATCCCAAATTATTCCTGTCTAAAAATCTTGAAAAGAAAATTAAATTAAATTAAAAAAAAAAGAACATGAAGCTAGTTTTTCAAAAAGAAGGAAAGTGGCTCCATAGGTATCTATAAATTGACTGCAGTCATGATGATTTCGAAGAAAAATCCTCAAACCTCTATCAATTACTTTGAGAGGAACACTTGAACCCATGTAAGTTTAACAGAAATGTACCAAGTTGTGCGTTGGGTTAAAAAAAAAGAATGAATTCGAAGAATTTTTGAGTTCAGTTCAGTAGGTAGGTACTGGTAAATTTTTTCCTGTCAAAAATTCAAAATCTAGGAAAATTATTTTGAACTTGAAAATAGTTGTTAAACTTTGTTTTTAACTTCAATGCTTTTAAAGGAATGAAACATCAAACCTCTTTTTTTTTTTGGTTCAGCTTTATGCTATTTGGTGCTTCTCTGTTCAAAACTCAGTCTATTGTGATGACAATGTTGATGCAGAAAGATAATCCCAGAACCTTCGGATACTTTGGTCCTATTAATTTTTGATTTTACTTAATTGATCTGCCCTTAAATTTTACCACAGAAAAAAATAATTTGATTACTTATAAGTGAATTTTTGACACTTACATATCTTTAAGTAGTGGTGGCGACTTTGAAATGATTCATCTCGGTGAAAGAAATTTATGTAATATTTTTAAGAAAATAGTAGGAAATCAGTAGTGAACTTTTTATTTTTCTGTTTTAGATTCTTTTTACTGACCGTATGAATGTCTTAACTGACACTGAAACAGTCTCTATGGATGACCATCGCTGCCATTGTTTTAACCTTAATTCTTATGATCTTAATAATTGCCATAAGATACATTTATTCCTGTTTTTAAATGTGATTTTAAACTTCAATTCCGTTCTGATTGTTTGTGGGAAAAAAATCATGCCCTGGAGTAATTATTCCAAAATCAATGCGGTAAAATCCAAGTGACATGAGTTTGACTGCTCAGTTTCTTTAATTCCTAAGTGTATTTTCCAGGTATGGAATCAGAGTCGATCCCGAGCAATGGCTCATAGTCTTGACTGGCCGCAAAGAAGGAGGACCAGAGCATCCCTCTCTCGTCTTATTATTTTGTAAGTCTATAAAATTAAATACAATGATGATTTCAAGTTGTATCATTAAATTTTAATAATCTGTCTCATTCAGTATTATTTATCGGAGTCAAAAAATATTCCTTGTTGCTAAGATCTGTTCATTTTTTTTAAAAAAAAAACACTGAAAAATGTGGTCTAAATTGTAAGTAATTAGGTGGTGAAATAGTGCTAGGTCAACACTATTCTGCGTTGGAAACAAGGCCAAAAAGTTCCAAAATTTTTCACTGATAAGTGCGATCCACTGATGATGTCTGATTGACCCAAAGTGTCATGGATCCCTTTATAAGAAACAAAGCAAACGTTTCGATCGCCTACAAACTGCGATCTTCTTCAGTGTAAAGGAACAACGAGTGGAAACATTTTACAAAATAGAAGAAAAAAAATAAGTTTTATATCGTAATGTAGTTAGTTAAGTTTTATATTATTTCTCATCTACATATAGTTTGCAATATTACTTGTTCAATTTATTTTTGGCTGGTAGCTCGATTTTTTAAATCAATTACCGTGTTATGGATCTCTGTGCATGACCCAAGTTTAGCACTCAAATTCATCTGCCTGAGCTAAACTCTCGCCCTTAGTCATGCACTGATCCTCATCAGAGCTCAAATTTTTTACTCAAATTGAAATTTTTGGAATTTGTCAGGCTTGATTTCCCCAAAAAATATTTTGGATCCAGCACCATTCTACCACCTTGCTATTTATTTTTTCTTGACCTCAATAATTTTAGCTTTTAAGCAGAGCAACATTACAAATTTAATAACTTTTTCCGTACTGAACCTCCACATGAAACTTCTTATGGTGATTTTTAGTCACACAAAAATACACACTCTATATTTTTGTATGCAATATTTCTCATTTAGGTCTCTTCTGTATAATGTAATTTATTCTTTCTTGAATTGTTGAAAACCTCAGCGCCTTTTTTCTCTCTTTTTTTCAAGTATTTTATCTTTTTGTCCAAGTTTTTATCTGAAAACTCAACTGCTGGTCTTTTAATTTCAGATGCTGTTGTGCCAGCCTTGACAGCCCTGTACATAGAAAAAGGAATGGCTTTCGTAAGTAGAACAAGATTGAGATACCATTAATATTACCTTTTCTTAAGTAGTATCAAAAACTGTTCAGGGGTGTCTACAGCTCTGAAAACCAGGAATGGAGAATTCGCATGCAAATTTTGTTGCTTCATCTAAAAGTGCTTTAAGAGCTGATTTTGTAGCATTTTTTATACTTTTTTTCTGATTTGGGAAATAGTATAAAAATAGATTTAAAAGTGAGAAAATGCACCGCTTAGTGATGTCATCTGGCGGCATTTCCCATTCAAACACACATATTTCAACAGATTAGATAATTTTGTCATATCTTCTTCAACAAATATATATTGTTCAATTCATAAACCAAGGTTACTCTCGTGTTCAGTTCACCCAGTAGTTTCCACTTACAAGGGGAGGCTACCGATTGTCCACCTCAGATCGGGTTCAAATTTGGCAGAGAGGTAGAATACATTAATATAAGAAACCGTATTTTTTTTTAGGTGCCAATGCCCAGCCGTTTTTGAGTTATGAATTTTTGAAGTTGCCGTTTTTTCGTGTCAGCGACGCGCTGAAGTTGAGCCTACTGTGCGCGCATCTTTTAATGCGATCCGAGTGTCCCGACGTTCAAGTGAGACAGTTGCCCACACGGTAGCGCGCTCGCCTACGGTGCTGCAGGTTCAGGGTTCGATACCACTTCTGTTAATTTTTTGAAATTGATTATTTTGTTTTTTAATCGCTTCATCACAGCAAATTGTAAGTCACCTTGTAGACGTTGTGGTGCTGATTATATTTTTTTCCTTTTTTGTTACACACTCATTAAAAAAATAAAAAATACATAAAATTTAATTAGAATCATAACGTCTACAAGGTGACTTACAATTTGTTGTGATGAAGCGATTAAAAAACAAAATAATCAATGGCAAAATTGTAATTCACGGATGTAGTATCCAACCCCGAACCTGCAGCACCGTAGGCGAGCGCGCTACCGTTTGGGCAACTGTCTCACTTGAACGTCGGGACACTCGGATCGCATTAAAAGATGCGCGCACAGTAGGCTCAACTTGAGCGCGTCGCTGACACGAAAAAACGGCAACTTCAAAAATTCATAACTCAAAAACGGCTGGGCATTGGCACCTAAAAAAAGATACGGTTTCTTATATTAATGTATTCTACCTCTCTGCCAAATTTGAACCCGATCTGAGGTGGACAATCGGTAGCCTCCCCTTGTTAGACACAAAATTCATCAAATTTCAGACACCTGCAAATTCTCTATTGTTTGGAAATGTCACCAGGTCAGGAAAATGAGAAAAGTCAGTAAGTTTTGAGAAACAGACTGGAAATTGGAAATATTTTGAAATTTGGAAGATCATAAACGCTATCCACACAAACTGAGCCTCAACCTAGTCTGCCTTGTGGCTCAATGCTCTGAGTTACATTTTGAATAGTGAACAAGAGAATGAGAGAAATCAGTAATTTCAATTTTAGTCAATCGAGTGATTAAAAAGGAAGAAAGTAGAAAAAGATTCAGATGTATCTTTTTTGCAGTGAAATTGATGCCAAAAATGTTTCATTTTCACTCATACAAGTTCACAATGGCAATTTGAATAGATAGTGAATTTTGATAATTTTGGTCCAAGAAACCTAGAAAAGGCAGGGATTTTATTTTCCCCAAGTGCGAAGATGTCCAGTTGTTGTTATACGTTATACATATCGACGGTGAAACTACCAAACCACGTATCTCGTTTGCGGTGTTTAAAAATCTACGCTCACATTTTATTTTTTTGAAGTAGACCAAATCAATATCATTCCTTGAAATTTTCACGGAATTTTCTCCGCACAAAGAGGAAAAATCACAGAAATTTTCAAGACTGGATGTTAAGTAGTTTTTCATTTAAAAAATAAAGTATGACAGGAAGTCTGCGACGTCGCAAACCGAGATACGTGGTTTGGTAGTTTCACCGTCGATATGAAAACACATTCATCTTTCACAACATTTTACTGAAGCCCAGCCACATTTTTCATTAATATAAAAATGAGGTAATAATGTAAAATAATATACAAATAAAGTAGTGAAATATATTCATCTGACGATCTCTCGGTATTTTCTCTTCAGAATATAGTATGAAAGTTTGAAAGATTTCTACCTAATACACTGGTAGACTATATTTAAATGTACTTAAAATTTGCATTAGTTTGGCAGATTTTGAAGTAAATCATTCAATTAAATAATTTATTCCGGAACCATGTAAGAGATCAAAGAAGAATCCTCAAAAGGTAAATGCTTGATTATGCACAGTAGAGAAATTTCTATTAACATTTTGTCTCATGTGTTTTACAAATTTTTTGCTTCCAGCACATCATCAGTCAGCAGGTCGGAATGATCGCTCATGTCGTAAACATCACAATTCTAGTGCTTATTCCAATGGTGTTAATCCATTCATATTCCACATTATTTAGTTTAAGTAAGTCAATTGTATTAAGCAAGTTTTCTTGATGATTTTAGTTTCCTAGTTTTTAAAGTACAGAGAAGGATGAATCTCTGAATATCGACGGTGAAACTACCAAACCACGTATCTCGTTTGCGGTGTTTAAAAATCTACGCTCGCATTTTATTTTTTTGAAGTAGACCAAATCAATATCATTCCTTGAAATTTTCATAGAATTTTCTCCGCACAAAGAGGAAAAATCACAGAAATTTTCAAGACTGGACGTTAAGTAGTTTTTCATTTAAAAAATAAAGTATGACAGGAAGTCTGCGACGTCCCAAACCGAGATACGTGGTTTGATAGTTTCACCGTCAATATGTAATTTCTCCCTCAGCATATTGTCAACAATTTGGAAGGTCTTTTCTCTGTGACATAGTTGGAACATATTGATGATCAAAGTGCAAAACCATTTATTTATTTTATGTGTTCGCAATGTTGTAGACTACCTGTCATACTCTATTTTTTTTTTTGGAAAACTGGTCAACACAATTTCTTAAAAACTTCCTTGTTTTTTTCTCTCTTGGGAGAATACTCTGTGTAAATTTCCAGCTGTAAAGTTGCCTTGTTTCTCTTTGAAAAAATCAAATAGTACCGGAAGTTTAGAACAACTGCATTGAAGGTATATAGTATCGCACTTTTGCCATCGATATAAGTTTGGAAGGTGTAAAAAGGGATAAACAGCTCTAAACTTAGCAGATATGAGAGGGCTGTCAAATGACTCACTTTATACCTTGGCAGTTTGATTCATTTATTATTTATTCGTTTATTTATTGCAACCTTCCTAGGAGGAAATATATGCAATTATCTTAATGTATGTACATAAGGGTATAAAAAAGTAATAACTGGATAATTACTTATTTCCATAATGAACCTTTGGTGTATGATGTAATTTTTGAATGAACCTTTCTAGAAGCGCAGGTACTACAGGTAATAAAGAATTACAGGTAATTGTTATTGATTTTTCCGTCTTTTTTCAGTTGGTGCTAGCGCAGTATGTTTTGAATACTCAATTTTGTTCCTAAAACTGTGGTCTTATGCGCACACAAATGCATGGTGCCGGAATGACTCTAAAACCAGAGCATTTATCAAATCGCATGTTCGGCGCCAGAGTTTATTCTTCAATAATGCCGGTAAGCAAAGATTAGCTGCCACTGCTAACATGCCTTTTTACCAAGTTGTAAAAAAGTCATGCAGATAACTTTGATGATAATCAGGGGTGCAGAAAATGTTGGATCTGTCAATTTTCTGGTGATCAAGCAGTATTTCCTTAGTTCTTGCATCAACTGGGGTTTTTACTTACTCAGAGTGAGCTTGCTCCTGTCATATCTGAATAATCTGGGTTCTGACGTACACTAAATTAATAAGTTGTAAATACTGCTTAGGTTTTTATAAATGAGTTGAATTTTGGGGATGCATATTTTGATCAGTTGTAAGTAAAAATTAATATTTTTTAAAGGTGCAGTATGACTATCATTTTGCGTTTGTAAAGATTTCATCCATTTTTTGTGTGGTGCATAAAATACATATCTACTCCTAACCTGTATACTGCACTACTAAAGCAGGACGCCGTATGAGCCTTCAGTCGTTGCCAAATTTCCTTTGACAAAAATCAATTTTTTAAGGAAATCTGTCAATTTGTTTCCTCCAATTTTTTTAGAGAATTTCATCCGCAGTCGGATGTAAATTATCCGACATTTTTCAGAAAAAATACTCACAACTCTCCTCAAAAATAAGCATTTTATCCAAGGAAATTTGGCAACTCTCGAATGTTCATACAGCGTTTTTCCTTAGCATGGCAGTATAGTTCTATGCCAAGTATCCAATTTTTGTTCCCAGCATAAAAACTAATCACTGTCGATGACTATTCTCATTTTTATTCACTCTCTTTTTCAGATTTTGCAAACTTCAGCAATGGTGTTCCGGAATCAAAAATTGTAGTGTATCCAAATAATTTGAATGTCAGAGATCTTTTCTATTTCCTGTTTGCACCAACTTTATGCTACGAATTGAACTTTCCCCGAACGGGTAGAATAAGGAAAAGGTGAGCGCATGTGATGTACCCACTCAGGGGTTTTAAAAACTTTGTTATGCATTTATGGAGGATTTCTGAGCTTGCATAGTGATAAGTGTGAACTGAAAGTGTGAACTACAATGATCCAGGTTTTGAAAATTGTCTAAATTTTTGAGAGGAGAAAAATATTTGGGTGTCATTTTGTCACAAAAACCTCCGATAAAATTAAATTATTCCGTCCAGTATTACAATATTCAAAAGAAGAGTCTGAGTTTGCATGACAGGTGCATCACAAAAGAAAGTGAGAACTTGAAAAAAAAGAAACACTCCTTGGGATTATACTTATTTAGCGAGAATCAAAAGTTATTTTTACAGTCATGTTTTGTGTATGTACGTGTTTTAAACGTGTGCATTTATCAATAAGGTCAGTGAAGACACCTGTCACAGGAAAAGTCTTTGGCTTAGTATTGTCATTATAATTGTCTCACCTTTTTCAAAAAGTATGGCCGACCTTCAGTATGCCTTATTGCACGCTCATTTCCCTGTAAATATGAAAAAGACCAGTTCATGATAACTAGAAGTGTTTCTTTCCTAGCTATTCGATCTATGTGATTTTCAATGTGATTTCCTTGCTCACCTGTCAATGTTAAAATGGATTTTTATGGGTTTTCATGTCTTTCATTCCTTTCTCTTGTGTGATGAATAAAAAAAAAGGAAGGTGATTCAAGCACTGCTGTCATCTCTATATTGAAATAAAAAAAATGCAGCCTCGCCTCAAACAAATGCATGTATGATACCTGAATCTTTTTCTACTAGAGGATGTAATTAACACTTTGCCTACCATGGTATTTTAGTTACGTATTTCCCCTGGTGTTGTGGCTTCCCTTTCTCCCAAAGAAACCAAAAATACAAAAGTTAAGTGGTGAATTCTCCCACCGGAGCTATGTTGGTCGTGAGCCACAAGCGTATGCAGTACCTTAATGACCGCTGGTCTCAAGGGAGTATTCAACGTGAGCGTCTGCATCCTGGTCAAAACATTGCTCCGGAGGATGAGAAAGCAGAGGAGAGGTTTTAATTTTTGTTCCTAACATTTCCGAACTTCCTTTCATCATTATTTGAATTATTTGTAGGTGTATGAACTAATTAGCATGTTTCCATGTGCCCTGTTTTAATGATTTATTTGTTTCTTTCTCTTTTTCCCTTTGATCAATAGGTTTTTAGTGAAACGATTGCTAGAGGTTTTAATTGGTTTACAGGTTTTGGCTTCATTATTTCAACAATGGATCATCCCATCTGTAAAAAACTCTTTGATTCCATTTTCGGTAAGTTTCTGTACTATTTTTTTTACCTGTAATTTTAATTTCATAAAGTCTCATAGTTTGTCGCATAACCTGTGGACCGGAGATACTTTAAAAAGTATGTAATCTCATCGTTGGTAATCTATTTTTAAGTGATTTTGATCAGATAAATAGATACATATTGAGTGAAACCATTTAGTGTTTAATTCCAAGGATAAAAAATGGGCGCTTATAAAACCTGAATGAACAGTAATTTTAAAGTTTTCTGTTTTTGTATTATAGGTGTTTATTTTTAGCTTTTCTAAATTTCTTGAAAAATAAAATCCTTGTTCCATTCTACCCTGTAAGATTTTAAAGCCAGCTTAAGTTGTTGTTTTTTTTTTTTTTTTTTACATAATACAGTTTTTTATGGCGGTAAAATTGACCAAAGTTATCAGCTTTCATCATTGTAAGAAACGAACCTTCATTATCCTAAATTGTTTCTTACATTTCTAATGGACAAAAATATATTCGTGTAGATCAAACTTTCAGTGTGAGGCGTCTTAATCAATTTTTATTTTCACAAGTAATTTTTTTATAAAACAAACTTGAGTCCACGCCAAACAAGTTTACCCATTTCTGTACTGAGACAGAAGATCCGCCATCTTGCTTCTTGCACTTACTTTACATGTAAAAGTGATGTCAGATGATCTTCTGTTGCAGTCTAGAAGTGCGTAAACTTATTTGGCTTGGACTCTAGAAGATGTGCTAATGTAATTGGATTATTGAACAATTTTTTTAAATTCATTTTTTAAATAAAGTACCCTCAAAATTGAGGGTTATCGCAATTTTTTGCTGCCACTGAATTTAATTGCTGAATTGTTTTTTATGCAATACTGATTTTTTTTTAAAAAAACAACAATCACCAAAAGTACAGCGTTTCCCTAAACGGAGAAATTTTCGACCGTAAATAATCCAAGACGTCTCACACTACATTCACAGCTGTGTTTATTTCAATCGTTGTTCAAGAAATTCTAAATAGCTCCCAACTAATTTTTCTCTCGAATGGGCCTTATTGTGTTTCTATAAACCTAATTCAAAGATACAAAAATGTTTTTTCACCAATAATAAAATAATTATGTCTTTATTTTTTTATAGAACATGGAACCGGCCAAAGCCACTGAAAGACTACTGAAGCTGTCGGTAAGAAATATAAGCATAATGCTTGCTGAGTGATTTTTTGATGAATAAGTTTAGTGAATATATCAAACATTTTGATGGTAAAACTATGAGTCTATGTTTCATCTTGTTTTGTGACGCTTTGTTCCATTATACTATTTCAAAGAAAAACTGATCATCGTTATTAAGAAATATTCTGTGGGACTTTTCTTTGTCTTTAGAGGAATATTCTCTAAAACCTTTTCAAAGGATATCTGGTAACATTCTTTCAAAGAAAATGAAGGAATGGGGCAATTTTGGAACTTTTTGATTGAGATCTATGCTTGCATGGTTCCACTTTCAATTTCCAAAATTGGCTAGTGAAGGCACATATAGACGACATGTCAAGCCATCTAATGCGCTACTTGGTGAGCCTTTTACCAAAACACTCCCTATCCTCCCTAAGGGTCATGTTTGGCAGAGAGCTGGTCAAGAGGCGTGTTAGACAGCCTGATGAGCGACTTACCGCTGTCTAAATGTACCTTAATCGAAAAAGGAATAGTCTCTGTACTTGTCAACTCGAACATCCTATTTGCCTCTAAATCAAGTCTAATTGCAAATAAATTTGAAAATTTTTCTGACTGTATCAATTTCTTTCTTGTGAGTTGTGCACAATGTATCAGACAAGGATGAAAAGTTTTGCAAAGCCTGACCTCGGTAAATTTATGAAAACTCGAAATTAAGGGTCTGCTGCAGGTAAGAGTTAAAACCAAGCAAGAGGGCACTCAAAAAATATGAATTGTGCTGACCTCTGGCATAAGATTTTGGCAACTTTAATCCTGAAGCAATGGATAAATGCTGAAATGAGACAGACAGGTAATGATGCAAATAGGGCTCACCTGAATTTCTCCTCTTGCAGGAGTTGTTCCTGGTTTTATTGGCCAGGCTTTGATCGAATCATTTTTGTAATTTTTTCCCCCTCACCATTTTTAACAGTCTTACTTTCATTCTTGTAGATCCCAAATCATCTTGTATGGCTGATCTTCTTTTACCTGCTTTTCCACTCGTTGCTCAATTTAGTAGGTGAAATAATGCACTTTGCCGACCGGAATTTTTATCTGGACTGGTGGAATGCCAACAATATTGATACCTTTTGGAGAAGTTGGAATGCGCCAGTTCATAAATGGGCTGTCAGGTAATATTTTTTGAACTTTCCATGAAACGTACCTACCAAACCTTGGAAAAAAGGATTTTATTATGAAAATTCCCAAATGTGCCATTGAAATTAATCAGTCTTAATTTTAAGTACCAGCCTCGCGTACTGCAGTGAAAAATTCTGAAGGGTTGAAAGGACTCCATTATTCACAAGTGTTTTGTGAAAATTCCATAATGCTTGTACGAGACAGCTTCCTGTCAAAATATTAAAATCTGATTTTTTGACCCAGCTCAACACTAGTGGTTCTACTGAAATTTTGCTTCTGTGGACAGTCACATGGGTCGGAGGACAGATACAGATGTCCGAAAAACCTCTCAAATTATTTTAATAAAAATATATAATTATAAAAAAAAACCATGAAGGACTCTACAAAGAAAACCAAGGAACTCGCCACCTGCTAAATTTCATTATAATTCAATATGATTTCCCTTTCAACCTTCTGAGCATGATGATATTTTAATATTAAACTTCATTAACGCCATTTCTTAGAAAAGCAGGGCTAAAAAGTGACTTCTCAGCATTTTAAGAAACACTAATTTAGCAGGAATTTTGTCAATCGAGGAGAGCTCATCTTTCTTTGCCTTTCTTTGTTCATTTCATGTTTTCTCAGCCAAAAAAATGAGACTGACTGCTTTAGAACGAAAGGCTTTTTAAACTCAACACAGCTGAAGTGCCACCTCTCCCTAAAAAAATCAAGTAAAAATCAAAATATATTCTCTCTTTGCTCATCCTACCTCAAAATTGGCACTTAGAAAGTTCGTTTTTTAAAACTTATTGTTCCTTGAAGATCATCAAAAATTTAAAATCAAATAACGACGAAAAGCCAGCATCGATTCTATTAGTTTTTTGTGCAGGGTCCCTCAAGAAAATGTACTTTTAAATACTGAAACAAGTTTGAAACAACTCGAAACTTCAAATCAAAGGCTAAGGCTTTCCAAATTTTCTCTGTGTCACAGAATGTAACCTGCAGTGGTTTGATGTGCCACCATGCATTTTCTGCCTTCCTCGAAAAAAATTAATGATTAACGAGCAAATGAATTTAACAATGACAGTATTTTTCTGAAATGTACTATTTTGCTGTGAGGTTATCAATTAATCGTTGAAAATTAAGGGTTGGGTGCTAACAGGGAATCATTCTCAGTGTATTCAGGGTCTCAAAATTTTATCTACGTTATTTTATCTAATGTTACTTATTGTTAGTATGCTTCGAAGCTACCTGAAATTTGTGTCCAAGATCTCATAAAATTGTGAATACAATTAACTGCAAGTATTGGACGCTCTAGAAAGGGAAAAAATAAGATAAAAATCATTTAAGTTTGAGACTGAACTGATCCAGCCAAACGGGAAGAGTGCAAAAGAGAAAATGAGAAAAGGGAAGAGTGAAAGAGAAGGCAGGATTGAATTGTATGTTGTTTTATTTTTGCCTCTCAACACCTCAATAAAAGTTATCAGGTAGTAGAACTTTCCAATTGTTTTTGTCACACACAACTTTGATAAAGTGGTTTTATTCTATTTATAGGCATTTGTACCTTCCTTTGATCGAAAAAGGCTTCAGCCGGAATGTTGCTACTCTCCTAGTTTTCTTTTTGAGTGCATTTTTTCATGAATATCTTGTGAGCGTTCCATTACGAACATACAAAGTCTGGGCATTTGCTGGAATGATGGCTCAGGTAATATTTCTTCCGATATATACTCCCCATATTTAATTCGTATACATCCAACCTAATAAAAATGGAAAGAACAAGGATTTTGATTGACAAGTTTACTTACACCTAACGGTTCAACTTGATTTTGATTCTTTGCACAAACTGTAATTTCGAACCAACTAATTTAATCTTACCTAAAAACTTTGATTTTTATTTATCAATCGTTTTTAAATTTGATAATGCTCGGCATCTTTATTTAATTATACTTGTGACAATTTATTCAGCCCAAATTATGTAAATGTAATATAAGCAAAAACACGGGGTACAGGCTGTAAATAAAAACAATTTGGACGGGACGTCTTGGGGTTAATATTCCCTTTTTCAACCGCCAAAAACAAAACAAAACAAAACAAAAAAAAAATTAAAAATCACACATGAATGAGCCACTGCTTAACAGCAAGGCTAGACTTAAGCAAGGGGAAGTCAAGCAAGGGGGGGGGGGGACAAGGGAAGGTTTGCCTTCCTGTTAAGCGGCGGCTCATTCATGTGTGATTTTTAATTTTTGTTGTGTTTTTTTTGGAGGTTGAAAAAGGGAATGTTAACCCAAATCGTCCTGTCCAAATTGTTTTTATTTTCAGCCTGCACCCCGTGTTTTTGCTGTTATTTCATTTATTTAATCATGCATAAAATATTGATGAGGAGACATTTTTGATACTTCAAAGTTAGCATTTTGTGCGGTGGTTTTATTAGTCTCTGAGTCAATAATATGGCACCATTTTTAAAAATCAACAGCTCTTATGGGAGGAGTAATGATGAGTAATTTATTTGAATCGAAAGCTTCGAAAAATTGTAAATTCAAAATATCTTCAGAGCCATGAGTTTTTACAGGGGTAATCCCATTTTACTCACCATGCATTTCCTCAATCGAGCCATTCCATTCAACCAAACCCGTGTTCTCTTTTCAGATCCCACTATCAATGTTCTGCCATCAAGTGGAGATTAGATTCGGTCAGCGATGGGGCAACATCATAGTATGGGCATCTCTGATCCTCGGACAGCCGCTTTGTATAATGATGTATTACCACGATTATGTCATCACCCATTTTGGTCAGTCGTTGCTGGACAAGTATGGTCATGCCTGAAGTCTTGAGTATTCGCCTTACCGGTTTCATATCTTTTTTGCTGAATCGAATTTAATTTTAAGTGGTATTAACAGCTCTCTAAGAATGGCATTTTAAGTATCAGTTTATCCAATAAGTACACTGAATAAACGCACTGGCAGAAACTGAATCCACAGGTATATATCAGAGTTCAGAATGTAACACTTGGACTTGACTGAAAAACGCTGAAAAATGTGTGAGAAGCATGATACAGGTTTTTGGGTCAAAAAGATGGAAATGGACCAAGAATAGAGCGGAGCTGGAGTATTTAAAGGGAGCTTAATTTTATGAATCATGCCATTCGTTGGCTCTCTCTGATTGGAAGGTTTTACTCTTGGTTGTCTCTGATCTTGTCGATCAAGTCATCATCATAAAACTGATATTACTGGATGAAGGGGTTGATACACTGAATTTGGAATGAAGAAGAGGCTATAAACTTGAATAACTGAAATGAGCAAATATTCAATAAAAAGGAAATGAAAAAATCGGGACAGAATAGTTAAAGGGAAATGTTGACACACCTCTCGAGGAACTATTAAGGCTTCAGCCAGTGGAAGTCTTGATTAAAAAATCATGCCATTTAGCCAATAAATAGTATTGTGCCCAGTTGAGAAAGAGTAAATTGCATTAATCAGTCTGTCGGCATCTTATATCTATTTTGGATGAAATGCCCTTTTGAAATAAATAGGTTTTTCCAAACTAATGTTTAGATTTCACTTTTGCTTAGTTAAATATGATATTACCTCTTATTTCTGAGTAAATGAAACAATGCGTTTAGGGCAACTGAAGTAATAGACATTTTCTCTTTGAAACCATGAAGTGTTGCTACCTTTATCTTCTCATTTGAGAGGAAGAAGTGAACGATTTTCTGTTTCCCGTACAAAAGAATGTACGTACTTTTTAAGCGTCAAATTTCTCTTTTTAAAATGCATCTTTACCAGGCAAATCTTAGGAAATTTCTACTGAAAATTTTGCTGATATCTCTTCTGATTTTATGCGAAAATCAAAAAATTTTAGACAAAAACTACACTGGTACATTTTCCTAAAAATTTAAATGCTTTAGTCAATTTTGCAACCTTTATGTTCCTTCATCTGGGAAATGACAAACTGGTGAAAGAGGTGCATCCTTGCAATGCATGAATATGTTTTAATCTTTTTTCATGTTTCAACAATGCAACGATGTAATATTTTTTCCTTGAGAGGGTATATTTTGAAGAAACTGCCTGTAACCTCTCTCATAGAGTTTCCAGGAAAATTAAAGTAAGTTAATATTGTTCCAATCATCAATTGTTGGTTCTGATGCCAAGTGGTTTGCAATTTATCAGTATTGATTTTCTTTGCAGTGGTGCCCTTACACTTGCACTAACCATGAACTTCAAGTCTACTGTAGAGATTTTCTTTGTTTTAATTTATATAATTCAAACTACTTAAAATACTTCAAACTTATGCAATGGACATCGATTTGTTCGATAATCGCCCCCCCCCCCCCTTTTTTTTCTCTTTGATACATCTTCCAAATTTTTTAAATTTTACAAAGTCCATTGGGACAAAATTTCAATCTCACACTCATAATAATTATTTTTATAAGTGTTTATTTTAGTGCAAAATATATCATTTTTTTTACAAATGTTTTTGCATTTTTGAACTCTGAAAGCTTTGAAGTTTATAGTTGTAGTGAAAGACATAAAAGAAAGCTATCCATTAATTCACTTTTCAAGCAATCAATTGATTTTCAGTCAGATGCTGGCTTTTGTCAGTTCGAGAAATTAAGTACTTAATCTTAAAGTACTGGAAAATTTTAATAGGCAATTCGCACAATCCCATATTTTATAATTATTTTACTCTATGAATCAGAGAAGTTTTAAAAAGTTAAATCACACTGTTACGAAATAAAGGGGTAAACAGCTCATCTTGGACTTCAGTCTCTATTTTTTAATGGCGGGCAAGAGAGAGTTCGACCTTAATCTCAGCTAACTCCTGGTAGAAACAACACATGTAACATTAGTGGCATTGTGGAGACAGGTTTATTCTATGGATGAGCCAGAAATAGTGGTTCTTGATTGAAAAATGTGGCCCAATTTACTTTTATCTGCAATGGAGTCCAAAAAATGCCTCACTATGGAACATCTCACATTTTAGGTAAAAAAATTGAGGTATGATTCCTGTGGCAGAGACAAGACCTGTTGGATGGATATCAGTCCTTTACTGTCGGAGCTGCTATGTTATTAAGATGTCAGGATTTCAATCCAGCTAAATCTATGAGAAATTCTGATCTTGAAAACAAAAAATAGCACAAACTCGCTTCAACTTAAAAAGATGAAAGAATCATGTTACTTCACCATAAATCTTTGCGGCAACTTGCACAAACTTCTGCAAGAAGTAGGGAATTCTGATGACTTCAAATTTTGCTTAAAAAGCTTGTCAAGAAATTGATGCAGTTAGGTATAATTTTCAATTTTTATTTTTTATTTTCAAAACTTATCTTCTGTTGTGTGCCCTCCCTAAAGTATTTGACATTGCACTTTTTATTCAATGGGTGATTCCTTTCAAGGAGCAATCTAGCACTGTGCAAAAGTGAACACAATTTCATATTGAAAAAATAATGATAACAAGGTCAAAATAAACTTCTTTTATTTTCAAGTAGTTAACAGAAGACAATTAATAAATCAAATCCATGAACAAAATACTGTTGGTGACAATATTAGATATTACATTAAATTTTATCTATTAGGGATTGAAAGAGACATATTAAACTTATCAAATATGTACAATTCATAAATCACATGTGTTTCAAAATCTCATCACAGTTAAATTAAAACGACTACAATGGAAGGAATATTGGAAAAATTAAATGAACGAATAAATACAAAAAACAAAAATACAACAAAAAAAACTTGAATTTAAGAACGATTTATCCCCAAAATGGGACAAACTCTGAGAACTCCAGAGGAAATGTAACAAAATGTCCGCCTCGAGGCTCAGAAAAAAACAAAAAAACATTATGTAATTATAAAATGATAAATTTCCACTCGTGCTCTACAAATAACTGTTAATTGAGATTTTTAGCGCTTACTGTGCAGTTTTAATTCATAGAGTTCCACTTGAACAACATCATTTGTCTTTAATTGATTGCTATGTTTTCACTTCTAAAAGTTTTGCATTTGAAAGCGATCATTCCAGATAAAGAGAAAACCTTGAATTGAGAACATAAAGTAGGTTGTTTTTTTTCTAAAACTCAAAGTTGAGAGAAAAGCAGCAGGACGAAAAGAAGTGAACATTGCTGAATCTCAAAAATGCTTTACTACATTTTGGAAAAAAATATCAGATACAATTAGAAGACTGAAAATATTGATACAAAATTAATGGCTTGCTTATCAAATATTTAAAGATGAGGGGGCCGGTGGAATCATTTTTATCTATGGGAGCATGAGGATCAAAAATTTTGACTTCTAAGGTACTAAAGCTGTGGAAAGCACAGAGGGAGCGCAATAATCGGGAAAAAATAAAAAAAAAAAAAAAAACCAAAAAATAGGAAAAACGAACGCCGAAAAACTTCACAAATGATGTGGCCTTAAAAACGTACATCTTCTTCAAAATCAATTATAAGGGAAAAGAAAATGCAAACTCTTTCGATCATAGATCAACCAATCCTCTATGAAGGAATGAATAAAGAAAAACTACATCGCAAAACTTGGTGGATCGAAATATTAGTCTACTTAAATGACTTGAAGACAGCAGGAAAATGAAAATATTGAAATTATTTACAAGAAATCCAAATCTTTAGGACGAGTATATTTTTCAATTCCACAATAATTTCAGAAAGGTCTCTAAAAATTGTTTCCAAGATTTTCAAGAGAATAGGAATAAATGCAGGTTTCCGAGTTACTCAACTTTTGCATTCAGCACTCATTTTCGAAAGCAAAAGAAAATTTGTAGGCTTCTGGCTGACAGGAATTTTGGGAGGACTTTATCTCCTTGTCATGTAGTAATTTGATAACATCTTGAGCATCAGAAAGATCATTGTGATAGGAGAAATATGTGAGAATTTTTGTTCTGGCTTCAGGTTCTATAGCTAAATTGTACAGAGGCTGTTTATACTTGTTAAGTAGCTTGTAAACAAATGGGTGTAGAATGTCATGTTCTTCATTGATGACATAAACTGGACGATTCCAAAGGAGACTCTCTACAATATTGTCTAAGCCTAGCTCCTCTGCTTTCCTCAGTACACGAAGATGCTCTAAGGTGTTATCTCCTAGTCTGTTAGCAAGGAATACACTGAATTGCAAAGGAAATACTTCAAACATCAAATGACGAATTTCTGTTACAGACAAAGAGATAGTGGCCTTCTCAGAAAGAATAATAACAGAACGAGGTTGATCCAGTAAGGTTTTATAAAAAATTAATAAGTTTTCCACAAATGTGCTGACAGCAGAATCCTCTGGGCAATCTAAGTTGAAGATTTCGCCGGCTTTAGGAGCTATTTGATTGAAAAGAGTGACAAAATGATGAAGAGCGACGCGATTGTCAAACAGCACTTTTTCAATGAGTAAAATTCTATTCCCAGCATTTCCTCTTACAGATAAATCTGTAATAAATGTGTTTTGAATGCATTCTGCTAGTGCTATGAGCCCATCATCTTCAATTTTATTATAGGCAAGACCTAAGACAAGAAGGTTTGAGTTTTGAAGAGTTTCAACGAAAGCTCGAGCGCCCTGATTGGTGATAAGGTTTAGACTCAAGTTCAAGTCTATAATTTTGGTATCTTTTAAGCATATTGCCAGCGCTTCTGCTCCCAGATCGTCAATTCGATTGTTACTTAGATCTAAATGTGTGATGGATGAAAATTGCAAGTTGTGAGCAAGTTTAATAACACCTCTACCTATCTCATTTATAGGAAGTTGTAACTTCTTGACTGAAGTTTGGTGCAAAATATCCGCAACTATAGAAAGGATTTCCTCAGTAATTACACTGCCACCGAGATCAATTGAGGTTATAGAGGATCCGTTACTATGACTTAGAAAGAGAGGCACTGCTGACGGTAACTGTAACCTTTGATCCCCACCAAAACTAATGTGGCTCACTTTTGAGCTTTTTAAGCTCTCTGCAAAAGAAATGACCTCAGAATCTGACAGTGTACAATTCTCGTCCAAAAATAGTTCTGTTAATTTTGAGTCACCCAACACACTACTCAATGTTGAAAAACTTACAGCTCCCAAATCATTATGGGCTAGGGATAAATATTTCACACTGGAATATCGAATACTCTGAATTAGTTTTTGACCTATAAAATCATTGAGTTTACAAGCATCTAAGCATAGCTTTTCAATTGATGTCTCCTTCAAAAAGTCAGGAGGTGAAAACATTTGTCCATGAAAAATGTCGTTACAGGAAAGATCAAGGTCTTGTATATTGGTATCTTTTAAGTATTTACCAAAATCGTTAAAACCAAAAAATGAATTATTGGCAACATCTAATACCATCACACTAGAATTCACCAGTCCTTCTGCTAAAGCATTCATTCCCTTGTCCGTAATACAATTGAACTTCAGATTTAGATTTAATAACTTGGATGCTCTCAGATTACAGCATAAATCTTCCAACACACAGTCGTTGACAGAATTCCCACACACATCCAGATTTGTTATTAAAGTTTGATGTATGCTGGAGAATAAAGACCTGAGAATATCAGGCGATAAGGAACACGCTGCCAGACACAAGCAAGTGACAAAAGTGTAAGGCAAAGCTTCAACAAGGAGGGCTCCACTTGTTGGCTCAAAGGTACATGCTCTTAAATCAATTTTCGTTCCAGCAGAGGCAATTACACCTGCAGTTAATCTTTCAACTTGATTTGCTGTAAGTTTTGCAGAAATAAGCTTTGACTTGAAATCAGTAATCTTCGTATCTACTGATAGCTCTGTCAAGTACAGAAATTCATCGATTGGTAACCTCGAGATATTTACAAAAAAAAGCTTCATCATGTCCAAAAAGTCTTTGATCGGTAACTCAGAGTTACCCAGATTAAGTTTTTTTACCTCTGTCTTGGTTAACAAATCAAATACTTCATACATTCCTCCTGTAAAATTATTAAAACCCAAGTCAAGCTCTGTGACTCTTGCCTTGGAATTAATGAGGAGGTTGATGATAGATTTTAGCTCTTCAACCCCAAATCCTCCTTGTTCCAAATTAAGGGCACTGGCTTGAGTCTCTTCAATGTAATTTTTCAGCGATTGAAGCAGGCTGGCAAAATCCTCTTCGAAGAGTGGATTCGAGGTATGGGCAACATGAGGTGGGCGATACTTACACCTGGCAATTATTATAGAGTGGAGGTACTGCTCTATTGGTATCTGATCCTCAGTTTCGGAGAGGGATGATTCCTCTTCACTGCTGCTTGTTGTTCCTGAGAGTGATGATTCATTCTCGCTGCGGCTCATTGTTCCTGAGCGTGATGATCTATTCGCACTGTTGCTTGTTGTTCCTGAGAGTGATGATTCATTCTCACTGCTGCTCATCTTTCTTGAGAGGATAAGGAAGTATTGTTCCTGCGTATTTAAATTGAAGATGCACAGCCTTACTATAAACTTCTTGTATTTATCTGCTTTTCAAGAATTTCCCTTTCAAATTGGTACCGTGCTATCACCAAAATGAAATCTGAAAGAAAAGAGAAAATTTGTAAGTTTCATGTCTTTTAGAAACAATAATATTTCAAGTAGTCATTTTTGTTAAAATCTGGAGGAAGTTGAAAAAAGAATGACTTATCATAAATACTTCAGACAGGACATATCCAAGGCCGAAGTGCAAAACCATATATTTTCGCTTGCAGCTTTAGACACTTCCTGTAATAATTCCTTTTTAGTTTTTTCCCTAGTAGCATAACCATAGAAGGAAAAGATAAAGATTATGTACGAAAGTTAATTTTTTTAATATAATGCATGCATATGAAAGTGTTAAAAGTGAACATTTTTATGTAACCATTATATAAAAGAAAGTCATAATTTTCGTGAGCTTTTCGCAAACATACTAGAAAATCTTCTAATTCGCAAAAAGCTCACGAAAATAATGACCTTTTTTTTATATGATAGTTACATAAAAATGTTCACTTTTAACACTTTCGTATGCATGTGTAACATAAAAAAATTGTCTAAAAAAAATTACCGTATCTAGCTTTTATCATTTTTCATATATTATGGTCAGGTCTGAACATTGATTTTTTTTTTTTAATATAAGCGTTACACGTTTTTTATATAAAACTACCATTTAGATAACAGATATGTTTTTTTTATACTTTTTTTAGAAAAACAAAAATTTGTTCTGCTACTAGGGTTCTTGGGCAAGCTAGACAACATAATTTTTCAAAAAACTTCCTTGATTTTTCTTCTCTAGGTACCTATTTGTAGAATGTTTTGCTTAAAATTGTATGCTATGAGGCTGGCTTGCTTCTTTTGAAAAAAATAAAATATGAGTTGAAATTTTGTAACACTGCAATGGATTTACGTGGTTTTGCACATTGGCCATCGTTATGCATCAGAGCTTTCCAACAACTTAAAAGGCAACTCCTCATTTGAGTGTAGGTATCATTCGATAGTTCACTTTTTAGTGTTTCCTGAAGGCTAATACACAATGGCAATCTCCCCTGATACCATGCCTGATTCTAGGCTATGCTGTAGATATCTCATTCCTTATAGGCGACATTTCATCTGACCTTGGCACATTTAATAATTTCAAGACTCAGCATAGTAAGGAGAGATGGTTTTTCAGCATATTGCACTTATGAAATGGTTGACACCTTTCGCTGGCCACTGATGCTTGCCTGGCCCCCTTTCGAAAGTTTTGGCAATTTCGTACAATATGGTGCTCATCGCCAGTGAAAGAGACACTGTCAAAGGCGTAGGAATCAAATGCACTATCCAAATTTATTAAAGCTAAGTTGGCAAATGATCACTTTGGACAGTCATGCGCAGTGCGTGGACTGATTGAGGTCTCTGTGCACGGTGCTGGCATTGCTCATGATCATTCCCTCAGTCAATCCTTGATCATTAGACAGGAAGAGACACAGATCGGATGACGGCAACGCAAACTGAAAGTAAACAACTGCCAGCTTAGCTGATGACACCTCTGATAGTGTAGAGCAGTAAGGTACCTAGCCTGTTAGAGGAGATTACCAATATAAGAAAGCGTCCATGACCTCAGTATTTTCCCAGGCATATAGGAGCATACAGAACAGCATAGATATTTTTCAATGTAGCAAAGAATCTGCTTTCAATGTTACCTAATATTCATTCAGCGAACCATCAGAACGGAATTTTAGGTGAAAAACGCCTTAATGGCCCCTCCACTTATGGGCCCTCCTTCTGGTAAGTAACTGCACTAAAATTTCGTGATCCTGTTGTCACTCAGAGGGTTGCTAGCTCCAAGAATTGCAAGAATTGAGATATTGAACACATACCTACAGGGGAAAGTATCTACGGAAATCTGAAAACCACACTTTCTGAAAAAGGGCCTCCAGGCTTGAACGCCCTTTTCCTCGAAAACTCCCCAGTTACTCCTAGAAAAAAACCACTTAACAGCCAAACTCAAAGTGTTCCATCGTGAAATTACTGTCTGTCACTGTTCTAAGAGATTTTTTTGCGGGCTGGTGGGTACAAGGGTGGCTGTGGCTACTGCCTGACGCCACCAAGAATGTGCTTTACATGCATGTCATGTGTAGCAGAATTAGGTATCTATGATTTCATTTGTCATACTCACGATGATAGGAAAATTGGAATAAAGTCACTCACACTATTAAAACGTAGAATAGATCGATGTTCGGGCAGAATTGGAAGAATGGAAAATTGGAAATTCTAATTCCGCGTGAAAATGAAAATTTCGCGGGAAAATTATGTAAATAGAATATTTACCAACCCTCTTTAAATCTTACTAGATCTCATGCACACAGCAAAAACGTGCACACGGAGGTCAGTAAAAAAAAAAACCTCAGATGATCAGCAACCATCGAAACTGATTGTGAATTACAATGAAGTTTGGCTTGTAACAGTAATAAAATTCTTTTAATTTCCTATGGTCTAATGTAACAGGGATGAAAAAATCAGTGGGGGTGGGGGTGTAATGGGTACAAAATGGGACGGGGTATTGGCGAACCTGCAAGTTTGGCATCAATTTCAATTACTATGTTCCCAAGCATGGCCTCCCAAGTGACCAAAAATTTGAAACATTTATTGAAAATTCCCAACTTTCTTTGCTCACTCACATTTTCTCTCTAATTATAGAATGTTCAGTCCATCGTCTGAATAATATATTTTGTATTGAGCAGATCTTAAGAAGGTATTTCGTACTTTTCTTATGCTAAGCAGATGGATTAGAACTCTTCCATGCTTGAAAAATTTTACCTGGGGCATCATCAGCACATCAAACTCCGATTTTTTTAATTTCGTCTCTCCCTAAGTGCATTACTATGGTGCCTTTTAATCTATTAATGTTAATATACATTCAATTGTTCTTCATCATTGTTATTTTATCGTACTATATTTAATCAACCAAAGTCTGATGATGACCTTTCTAGGTACTATTTCTATGAACAAATTTTTTTTTATAACCCTCACCCTCGTAACCTCTCCCCCTTTTTGTAATGCGTTTGTGACATAGCACAGTTGATCGAGTCAATTAGAGAGGTCAGCCATGAAATTAGGACTAAAACTGCAAAATTTGATGTTTATTTTGTCACATTATAAATTTCAAAGAGTGCTTCTGGAAGAAAATTTCACAAGGAAATCAATGAAACCACTTTAAAACCTCAAAATGTTGTATTAACGGAGTTATGAGCTTTTAAAGTTTCCAAATTTTCTCCGACTTCCTCCATTGACTCGATCCATCCTGCATAGGTCGTATCCATTAACATGTAAGAACTACAGGCGTAATGCTCGCCTCAACCCTCCCCTCCCCCCTAGAATGTCACATATTTTAAGAACAGCCCTCTGAAAGAAATATTGTCTTTTTTCCATTTTTCTTTTGTGCCATATTATAATATTATGCAGAGTTTTAATGCCTCCAACCAAAATAACTTCCCCTTCACTTCTTTCTCAAAATGAAAAGGTAAAAAACTTAGTGTCTTATTTTCAAGTGTCAGTATTATTGTTTGTATTCAGCTGTTACATAAGTAGTTCTAATGTATTTATTTTTTAACTCGTAGTTTTTTTTAAGGAAAAAACAAAATAAAATAAAAATATTTTTATATTAGAGATAAATAATTTAGTAAAGAATAATTTTTCATTTGATTACTTTCCTCATTTCTTATGTTCAACCTGTTTGCTCGGATGAATGTTAAGCTTTTTTCTATTTCAAATTGTAAACAAATCAGAAATACAAAGTGTGAAACAAACAAGTTGATTGAAAACTCAGTAAAAGTAGATTATAAAAATTTTGCTTTATTATAACAATAAATTTCCATGTTGTTATCTTTAGCACAAAATAACAGATAATTAGGAGTAAGGTACATTTATATAAGAGATTACAAAACGGCTACATATGAAATCACAGAAAAAATCCAAAATCATGCATAGAAAGTGGTCTGACCAATTTCTCTTTGAAAAGAGTCCGCGATGCACAGGAGCACCAAAATTATGAGGAAAAATCATCACAATTAATTTGAATCCGGCTGAGGAATGTTATTGTCGGTGAACTCTGGCAGGTGTATGTTATAAAAATCGAATAAAAGTTAAACTTTAAAAAATGAAGAAATTTGAAAACATTGAGCTCTCAAATAAAACAACGTACTACAACTGTTTATCACAAAGGAAATACAAAAATAAATTTGACTTTCCAATAAATACTGGAACTGCACCTGAAACCGACTTAATACTCTTTAGAAAATTATTATAGTCTGTCCGAGATGGAAAGAATCGTGGAAAGTCGGAATAATTTGCACTGTTTTGAAGGGTGAGGGTGTTTCCACCCTTGTCAACTGTCACTTTTCAGGGTTTTGTGCAGGCATCAGCCACCGCACAGGAGGCTATGGGTCTTGGAGCGGCGGTTTTTCCCGGGATTTGAACCTGGAGCCAAAAATTCCTGTACTAGGCGCCGAGCGGCGTGGTGGGGCAAGCGATTCATGAGGAGCCAGCCCTCTGTGCGGTGCGCCACCATACAGGGTTGGTTCAGTGTCTTCATCTTACAATAGCTCAAACGCTACCCTTGCTTCTACATAGTGCAATTAATTCTGACTCTCCGACAGACTATAAGCATTGTTTAATTATCTATAGAGGTGAAAATTTTGGCGGTGGGAGCAATCCAAAATCTGAATTCACACTGTAATCGTCAGCCGGCAGGCAATGTATTCACGTGACGAGGTGCATACTTACACCTCCGGATAACTTTGACTGCTCTGATTTCCTATGTGGAGATCGTCTATGGATTTCCGAGCAGCTGTCGTAATTTCTCCGAAGGATTTTTTCGTATTCATTAGGATTTCATCTGTGTTTTTCACTGCTGAGTTTTTCAAATCCTTCACTTCTGTTTCAATTTTGTCTATCACCCACTCAATTGCTTGCCGCCCCTGTAACAGAACCAGAAAGTATCATTGACATTGAGAGGCAAGGATGTGTCAAGGGTACATTAGAGGCCTTGGGTGCGAGAAGGGCACTAAAATACCCATAAAATTCTTCTGATGGACAAACATCAACGATGGAGATTTTCAAATAACGCAGCCAAGAAGTAACTTTCTCACACCCACACCTCAAAAGTGACTATCCACGGAAGAAAGGACCTTGGTCCATGAATACTCGAAATTGATTATTGATACCAAAGCATATGAGCATATTCTACGAACACTTTTAGATCAAAATAAAACAAAAAATCAAACTGAAGTCATGGCATTTAGAAATTCGCAGTTCAATATATATGGGTTTCAAGAAAAGTTAGCTAAAATTTTTATCTGCCTTGATAAAGACACAAAATGGCTGGAGTACAAAGAAACTTTAAACCCTCTAGTAAAACAAAAGTATTACGTTTAAAGCTCAAAATCTAGTTTTTCGTCCCAGATAACTGTTCTTAGAAGTTACTTTTGTTTTCAAAGCCATATTCAATAAAATTATATTATTAATTCTGAGATCAGGTTTCCTTCATGGCAACATAACAGCAGTTTTCTATCATTAACTAGAGTGAGTCTCTTATTAATTAACACATTACATGTAATGTCCTCTTTTCAAACGTTGACAGAGAAAACAAATCACACAATGGGGAGTCTGAAATTCTATTCTGAAGCAAGTTAAAAATATTTACAATGGGCCACTAGACAAAGTACAAATTGTAGCGTTGAGCGACATACTTTCTTTTCAAAATTTCAAGAGGAAAACGAAACTCACGGTGAGAAATCTGGAAATCGACTCCTAAACACAATTTACATGTAAAGTGTTCACATTGGTTAAATGGCTAACATATGTCCTCTGTTAAATCTAACTTTCATTTGATCTGCACTAAGAACACCTGTTGATTTCTCATTCAGGCGTCAATTTCCAAACCTCCTGTTGTATGATTCGTATTCAAAATGAGCTTTAGAAGAGAAAACAAGTCACATATTTTTCTAGTACAGACTTTGTCTAGTGGCCCATTAACATTGATTAAATTGCAAAATTAGAAATGATGTCATTCGTATTGTCTATCTTCCGTTAGATCTCTGCAAAAAATACTTTTTAACACTAATGGCTAACGAACAATACCGCCTAACCAACAATTTTGGCAAAAATGAGTTAGCTCCTTTGCCGCATTCTACAGTATAAAACACATAAGCTGATGATTTTGGTTTTTTTTCAATTCTGTAGGGGCTTTAATGACAATGTAATGTATGAAAAATTGCAAATCCAACCTTAAAATACAACATTGGCGAAGTTTTTTCTTCATTTTGCAAAATCGTTCGTTTGCAGATGGGCAGTATAGTTACTTGACCTTCGATACCTCGTTCTGGGATAGATTACCAAACTTCTCTTTGAACATGTGAGATTTTCACTAGTCTAGACCTTGTCTAAGTGGTGGCCCATGTAATTATGGTTTTTGAAAGGCGCCCATTATTTTCTAAATAATATGTTTTCAAAATATAAGAATATTCTGCCTTTCCAAATTTGGATTACTATCCCTTTGCTCTATGCCTCCACTGATTCCGACTTCCCAGAGTTCCACACTGTTTCTAAACAAAGGGTCAACATTTTTGAATGGGCACGATTTTTGGAAGAAAACTAGAAATACTTAATCAGAAACAGAATAAGTCGCTTCAAATTTCAGCCAAGAAAAAGAGGTTTGAAGTTTCTTCCCTTTTGGAGCTTCGGTACGACTCATGTTAAGAAAAAAGCTTTAATCTAAAGCTAAAACCTTTTTAGTGTTCAAAATATATTTTCTTGACATTGGATTTTTATTAGGAGAAAATTTACAACTTGTTTCATTCTGAATGACTCCCAACTCAGGTTCTTCCGAAATGCAACTTGGTGGGTTTCTGTTAAACTCTGTACAGTTGGAAACATATTTACCTTGTTGGCATTGTGTGAAATTTTGCTGGTTAGTAAATTTTCAACATAGCTACAAAGAGGAATTCCTTGGACGGTCACAACAGCTTCTTGACTCAACTTTGTTTTCGATGCATCATCTGGGTGCGATTCGTACCTAAGAGTTTCATCTACAGCAATCATAGATCCAAATGTGAGCTGTAAAATAAGGAACAGGGTTAAAAAATAGAAAAAAATCCTGAACAGTGTTACAGAAGTGTGATAAATTTTTGAAATAAGAGAATGCATCCTGTTTTCTGGAGCGGGAGCATGCCTACATTTTTCCATTTTTCATTAAATCACATTTCAGCTGAAGAAACGACTTTCAATGTCTCCAAAAATCCAACTCCATTTCAAACGGAAAAATACTGCGCCAAAATATTTCAGGAAATCACTTAAGAATTGACTACTACATGCCCTCTATAACCATTACTACTTACAGTGAGTGTTTATTTACCTACTTTCCAGCTGCAATTGTGGCAAGTGCTCAGCCATGCTTGCAATGTCCTTGCTGTTTGAAAAGATAATTTTCCAAAAGTGCCAAGGATCAGATAAGAGTATTACCTACATTACACTTACATAGGCGAGGATTGTGCGGAGGCTTTGTTACATTGGATTCACAGTGGTTGAAACCATGGTCCATCCCTTCTAACAACAATACATATATATAATATATATGTATAAGCGAAAGAGTGATGACATGTTTTTCTCATTTCTTTGACTTAAGACCTACGTTTTCCAGTTAATAAACTTGCAGCTTCAGGCTTTTATAAGCTCCAAGACACATATTTATCCGAGGCACACCTACTGAACAGCCCCGTTCAGGAAATATTGTAACTTATCTTTCAGACACAAGATAATGATCATACGATCAGAGCCACACATTTATGGTTCAACTTGTGTCTACTGACTAGTGCGTTTCATCCTTTTTTCTTTGTACTATCTTTTATGGTAACCTAATGTAAATTATTTTTATGTATTTTATAGATTCGTTAAAGAGGTACATATTTTTTGCACAATCATGCTCTTGCCGAAAGTTTTCAAATGTTTCCTCTCCAGTTGTTTCAGGAAACAATGCGGCGAATGCTTTGATAACTTTTGTCGCTTTGCTCGAAAATATCACTTGCAGTTACACTCATAAAGTATCAAAAATTTAAAATTGGAGCTCTTACGTTTCTGGATTTCAATTCCATGGTTTTTTTTTCTGGATTGACAGTAGAATACTCTTTTGCATAGCACACACTAGTTGGTCCGACGATCTGAAATAAAGAAGGAAACATCAGAATGAATTTAAATGATGCAATGGTTGCAATTATTTGTCAACATTTTAAGAAATGTTGCACAAAGAATTTCACTCCAGTGGGCTGTCCATAAATGACATCAGGTATTTCGAAAGAGAGAGGTCTGAAAAAAAGTAACTGATTTCAATGGGATAGAACTAGGCAAACAGTTCCATCAACATTGTGGTGTTTCAAAATTTCATCACCTATTTTTATTTTTTGGAAAGAAACCAACCAACATTTTCGCTTAAAATTTTGTAGAAACAACCCTCAATAAGGGCAAGAAAAATTGCGATAATTTTAGAGTGGGGATGTTGGTTGATTTCCTTCCAAAAAATTAAAATGAGATGGGTTTTTGAGACACTGAAATAAAGATGTGACTGTTATGCTTAACCCTATCCATTCATATACAGTCTTTTAAGAGTCACTCGGTAAAGCTCAAGCTTAAAATCATTAAATGAGCAATAAGAATCTGAAAATTTGCTTCGTCATGAAAAACATATAAAATTCTCACTTATTATTCCAGAAGGAGGGTAATAATTTTTTTTCTATCTTTCTTTTTTTATAAACGTGTTTTATTTTTCTTCTTACAAGAGAGACACGGAGTGCTTCAACTAAAGAAGCTTGAAACAATTACCACCACAAAGGCAAAAAAAAGAAAAAAAGATGAATTTATCTTTGGCAACTGAGCTAATCCAAATTTAACTGCTTACAATTAATAAGATTGGCATCTCATCAAATAGTCTTAAATTTGGCTAAGACTGTCATATGTGATAACCACAAGAAAGAAAAAGTGGGAGTATGAGGTGTAGATTCTGTCAGTGCGAAATGGTTGCAAATGCAAGTTCTCGAACACAATTTAATGGAAATTGAATTTAAGCATCTGCAGGAACGGCCATTAAGATATAAGAATAAGACGGATACGGAGACTAACAAAAAAGAAATGTGCCTAAAGACTCGAATAGTGCATTCAATAAACAGGGTGTCTACCAACATCAGAAAATAAGAACATGGATATTCATTTCACTTGTTTAATATTAGTAGGAGTTCAAGGGCTCATTGGTTGTTGACAGTGCATAAAATGTTAAAGACAATTAACTTGGAGGTCAATCTCTGAGCATTGATAGGGAGGTAGAAAAGGAGAGATAGGTTCAATTAAAACATAGTAGTTCATTCATGTAGCCGAATGAAAAATCTAGCACCTTTAAAAACCTTTTTTGGATTTATTTCCTACCTAAGTCCATGGTACTTTATTTGTATTATAATTTTTGATGATTAGAATTTTGCCCCCTCTTTCTTGTTCAAAGCTTTCAAAAATAGTAAGCTTTAAATGGTTGCTTGTACAAAAAAGCGTCATTGCTGCTTTTATTGCAGCAAGGACTTGGAGTCTGAGTCGGGGATTTTTCTTTCTCATAGAGGGTGGAATGGTGGATCCCAATCTTCTTGAACGATCCATTACCATCAAATTCATTGTTATTTCTTAACAATGAAAATAAGTCGCTAACAACTAGTGAAGAGCTAAATTCAAGTATTCACAAGACCTTGAAAAAACTCAAAATTGAGCAATTTTGAGCACTTTTCATCGCTGCAAAAATCATGCAAAAGCCCGCTGAGCTTATCATTGGAAAAACGGAAAATTTTAAGAGCACTAAGTATTAAAACTTGGTTTGAGACTATTGATGATAGGCATAAGCAGGAGACTTCTAGCCAGACTTGAAATTTTCATTTGTTTCAAGTTTTTTGGATCCAGACTTCTTCCTGTTGGGTATTTTTTTCTCTTAGNGGGGGGGGGGGAGTATTTAACAGAGTAACATTTCATTACCTTCCTCCTATGGCATCACAAGCACCATTTAAGCTTAGGAAATGAAACAAGTTGCCAGGCTTCTCAAACTTTTCCAATATATTACAAAAAACTAATGAGCAGAATCACATGAAAACTTTACTTGGGTTGGTAATACTTCTTTTTTCATCAAAATTAATTCCTGAAATTTTCATGCCAGAATGTGCTACCAGTGCTACAGTTTTAAAGAAACAATTAAAACAATATTGAGATGTCTGGGAACATATCGTCTAAGCATACGTGGCGCTTGTGATATTTTGGCCAGAAGGTGACGATTTTAGGTCTGCACAAAATTGAAAAATAAATTCTTGAAAAGAAATAAAAATTCTTTCATGTAGGAAGAATCTTCTAAAGTTTTAAAAAACGAGAAAGCATAGGGATGGTCGTTAGCCTATATTGATGAAAACATAAAAAAAATCTTACACTGACTGCCCATCCTGGCAAGCCCCATTGGGAGGCGATGAGTCGTTTTGTTATAAGCACACCATCTGAGACTTGTCTGTCAACAACATCTATTCCAGTCACGGCAGGGTTCATTGGATTCGGATATTTGCGCCATGCAGCTTCCACAACTTTTTCCCATGGATGACTGCAATTGGAAAAATCATGAATTTTATAGATGTGATTTTCTATAGGGGGGGAGGGGGCACATGAAATTCATCAACATCTGCTTATTTGGCTGATACTTACCTCATACCTTACTAGCAAAGCCTCAACAGAATGGCCGTAAAAAAGAATGTAAATTTCAAGAGACACTAAATTTTACGTGTGGAACTGTTGAATAATATTTACCAATCAGGAAACTCATCAAGGAAAAAAACCAAATGAAAAGGTCATGTCCCCATTGAATATTTTGGAGAAGAAATCAGCAATAATTCATTATTGGACAAACTTTACTTCGGGCGTAGGGGAAGAAATGAAACACAGTTGATAAATCCTTTAACGAGATAGAAGACGCCACAGACTTGTTACTAGATTTGAGAAATTCAAAATCAATGACCAATTCGCTATGACTGCATTGATTCATTGTCTTGAAGACCTAGCAGAGAATAGTTTTCTAGCAACTCAGGGCAAAGGGTGATAATCTACAGCAAAATCAGGATATTATTGGACTTTGAAGCTGAAATCTTTTTCACTATGTATCTACATACCGATTCTTGTAATTTTCTTAAAGAATGAAATGATCACATAAAATTAAAAAGATGGCCTGTTAAAAAACTATGGGTTGAATATTTCTTGGCCATTGTTAGCTAGGAAATTGTGGCTTCTGTTTTTTCGGGAGGCTAATATGTATATGTAAACGACAAACAGGATTCGAATGTCGTTAGTTGCAGCTGCATTAATTTCATACAGGTTACAATTAAGGAAGGTGCTTTTCATCCGTGATTTTGTTGTAGTAATTTCAGACGGAGTGAGTTCAACTTGCGTCATGAGTTGCTGACATTACCGTCAGAATTCTAAACATTCTAATCATTATTTATGCAGGAGTTTCGAGGAATCCATGGCCAATTGGTCAGTCACCTTGGAGGTTATGTTCACTAAGTAAAGAAAATGAACGATGTACTTACTTGAAAGTATGCTCGCTTGTCCAAATTTTCATCCCTAAATCACTAAGAAGACACTGAAATGTAAACAAATGCTTTAAATTCAAAATCGAGGGAATATAAGAACTTCAAAAAGCTTTTTTCGACGGACAGATGTAGATAACGTCCACTCGCAGAGGGGGCGATTCGAGGAAAGGACCGAGGGAT